ATATCATTTTTTTAGATAACTTTATTGGGTCTAAATTTATTCAGCTAAAAAAACTTTTCAAAAACGATTTTTAAAATTGATTCAGAGGTTATAAGTTTAACCTCGCATGGAATTTGTCAAGTTGAAACCGAGATTTTTTTATTGAGAATTCGAACTTTCCTTCCAAGAAATTAAGAATTGAAGTTCAAAGAAACTTCTTAAACTTTTTTATTCATCAACTCTCATGAGTTTTTTTAAAATTGGTAACCAAAAAAATTACCAAAAAAAGTCGCATTTTTAAATCTTTTTTTAAAAAAATCCTATCATCACTTTTTCTGCGAAACATTTTTTTCATCTGAACTTTTGCTCAATTTGTCTATCCCATACAAGTAATGATGTATCATTCTTTTTTTGAAGAGTTAAAAATGAAGAACCCACTTAAAGGATTATCCATCACCCATTGCGTTGGCCGTATTGAACGGAACTTTTTTTTTCTCGCCCTCAATTTTTTTCCTATTCATTTTGAACAATTCATTTGATGATACGTCCTATTCAACTGAAATTCATAGGACATGTGAACAATTTTTTGTGTGTCATAAAAGCTTCCTCTTCCGTTTTTTTTGAAAAAAAAAAGAGAAGCCTACTTAAAGGACGCAAATTTGGCAAATGGTTCGTCTTTAATGCTTTTCTATGGTTTTTGCAGAAAAAGAGAAGTATTTGAACAGGATGTCCCTTTTTTCAATTTTCCAAAATTTCCCTCATCAATGGGATGAATTTTTCATTAATTAATGTATTTTCTCCAGTTTTTAAACCTCATGTATCAATTACCTAGTTTTGGCCACAGTATGCGCTCTTATAGGCTAAAAATTGATGATTTCGAATTAATTTTGAAGAAAATCAAATGTCCTGGAAACAGTAGCTTTCATTTATCAAAAGCAAACAATTTTCAAACTGTTTCCATTTTCACATTTCATAATTTTTCAAAAAAAGCTCAATTCTGAATTAAATCTGATTTGTTTTGTTCAAAAAATAATAAAAAACTGTTCTTTTTGAAGTCATTAGAGCACAACTTCAAAAAAAAAAAACTATTTTGGCTGTTTTTCTTAGCCTTACAGTCATAAATCAGAAGTTTGACGTATGATGCCACTTTCTTCAAATATTTGCTCTGGTTTTTCAGTGACCGTTTTCTGAGATTTCCTCAGGAACAAACACGTACTCTTTTCGGTACTTTCTTACTGCCACACAAAAATTGAAAATAGCCTCATGACTCATTAAAATGACGTTTTTTTCTTATTTCAAACTTTGAGGTTGGAGAGAAAACAGTCAAATTAATGCGATTTGACGAGAAAACTGATGGAATGTTAAAAGAGACCTTTTTGGGTAGACTTGATTTCAAGGTTTTTGAAACTTATTCTTCAGAAAAGGCGCTAATGTCCAAATTCGTATTCAGGACTTCTGGGTTCGACAAAAATAAATTAATCGTTAACCCAAAATAATGTTTAGTATAGGAAAATAGTAAATTTCGGCCAAAGATTATTTGAGAGGTTCCTAATTTGAAAATGAAATGCCTCTCGAGAGGGAAGAGGGTTTTATCCATCTTTGAAAACTCCTGAATTCACATGCCAAATGACCTCAGTTTCGAAGAGTTTCCCTTGTTCACGCTCTCCCAAGGCCGTTCCTCAAGCCATTCTCTTGTCAAAAGTGATAAAATCAGCCGTTCGGAGAAGAGCACTTGAGAGGTCAGGGTCGGCTCCGCCCCCGTTGCCTTTTTTGTCCCTTTGGCGGTTTCCGCCATCATTTTGGCCATTTACTCGTTCGTTACCATTTTTTCACCCAAAAACCGGTATCGATTTGCCGTTTTTACCCATTAGAAGGTTTTTCAACTCACCTATTTTTCGAAATTTTCTTTTTTTTTTGGTTATGAAGAACATAGGCAGTGCAAGAGGTATTTTTTTCTGATTTGGTATTTTTTTTAACTCAGAAAATTTAAGTTTATTTTTATCCATTCATAAAATTTTTTTATTATGCTGTTTTTTTATTATTTTTTTATATCTAAAAAAATTTAGGCAGAAAAACTAAAAGATCGAATTATATTTGTGGGCCAACAAATCATTTAGGAAAGGTGAATTTTGCCCTTGGGTTTCAAGAACAAAAAAACAAAATCCAAAAAAAAGGTTTTGAAAAAGAGACTTTATTAATTCTATTCAATCAAAAATTTACCTTCCAACAAAGGATTCGGATTCTCGATGATATATATAGCGTCTCTAAAGTCTTATCAGTTTTTTCATTTTGAAAGGCCTGGAACTTGAAAAGCCAAAATTCAAATTTAAAATTAAAAAGCACCTGGACAATTTTGCTTTCAGCTGGTTTTTATGCTTTTTTCTGCAGAAAAAAATTATTTTTCAATTTTCTTTCTTCGCTTAATTGAAAAAAATTACTACTGAAGCTCAATTTTTTTATCATTTTTTTCATTTTTTTCTTAAATTAAATCATGACGATAAGAGCTTCTTGAGTTTAATTTTTCTCTTTGAGCGGAACACCAAGTGAACCGCTCAAAAGCATTTTCAAGTTTTCTGTCCCTCCAATAATACAATTTCCTTTGTTTTGCTAATTCGAGTAGGACAAAAACACTTGAAAAACTTTTCAATGTCATTAACAGTTTTACTTTTGTCGCTGGTAGTGGTAACCTTCCAGTTTCCTCCATTTTTTATTGTTGTTTCTCGTGTCCCCCAAAAATGGGCACAACATCAGCCACTTTACAGTTTCTCTCGTTGCCTCACCAGTAACAAAGATGACAAAAGAAATGCGAGAAAAAAAACACCCTTTTTCGAACTAGAACCTTTTTTTGCATTTCGAAACACAAGTTCCCTAATTACCTGTCTTGTTTTGGCAGGTGCTTTATTGCGGCAATTTGCTTCAGAAGCAACCTTTTGACCGACATTAGGTATTTTTAACGCTAAAACTAGTTTATTTTGATTGAAATGTCTAATTTTATTCCTTTGACTGTTTTGGAAGCTGTTTTGCCTCAAAAGGACAGAGAACTCAACCTTCAAAAAGGCAAAAAAAAAAAGTAAACAAGAGATGGATTGATCCATTGATTTTCGCCCTACCATAATCTTAACCACTTAACCAAAACAGGGGCACCTTGCAGTTAGAATCGAAAGGGATTCAGGCTAATATGCAGGCTCAAGAAAGTGATGTAATTTTTTTTTCACTTTTTCATCGGGTTTTGGAATTTTGAAAAAAGCTAAAAGCTATTTTTTTTCAAATGGGAAACCTTATAACTAAACAGAAACTACTAGAAGTTTTCGGAATTTTTTATCGAAAATGACAGTTTCCTTAACTTTTCTCAACCCCGTCAAGACCTTTAGTTCTGTTGACGGCGTTTGCGGTCGCGTCGCGGTAGATCAAAAAATAACGTTGCTTGTTGATCGAAACCCATTACATCGCGAAAAGAAAAAAGAGACAACCAAAATCGAACAAAAGTGAACGGTTTTGCTTGAAGATATTGTTCATTTTTTGGTCGGTAGTCTATTGTGTTGTGTTGTTTCGTGTTGTGGGGGGCAAAAGTTCGTTGGAAGGTGGAGGTGAAGGACAATGGAGGAAAAAAACGAAGAGGAAGAAAAGAAGAAGAAAAAGAAGAAGAAGACGTGGGGCGCATTGTTGAGAATTGTAAACCAATGCTTGCCACTCTCGCCCCCTTTTTTTGGCAATTTGTCCGTGGTGGACACCTAATTTAGGTCTTTAATGCCTTCTTTTCTTCTCAAAAAATATGAATTTCATGAATTTTTTTTATCGTTCTCGTTTTTTTTGAGCTAAGAATCTTTTGTTACTCCGTCTTTTGACCTTCTCACAGATATTTTTTGTTTTCATATAGTCTGACCTTCGTCCTGCACTTTTAAAAGCTTAAAGTCTTGTCAATGGGACGGCGATTGATACAGTTCTAGGTTTTTTTGAAAAAAATTGAGAAAATTGTTTGGTTTGTTTTAACCTTTGCCGGATTTTGGTTTTTTGCATCCTTTGGTTTTTTTGTTGGCTTTTTTCAAAAGCCCTTTTCTCAAAAAAATTCGAAGACCGAATTCAAAAATCTTCTTTTTTTCGTATTTTACAGGCAAAGAAGTTTTTTTTAAATTTTAACCGTTGTTGGTTAGTTTCGATAATTTTTTTGGAGAACAAGATATTTGGTGTTTTTTATTTTCCAAGATATTTTTTTCAGCTTCACAATAATCACTAATTATTCATCATTTTGAGATACAATTTCTGATCTTTGAAAGCAAGTTTCAAGGCTGTAATTTTCATATTTTGAGTTAATTCCAGTTTAGAGAGGTTTTCTTTTTCACATTCTTGAATAATTGCTAATTTCAAGCTATTCCATCGCTGCCATTTCTCTTTCTCTCGGCGAAACTTTTGATAATATTATTTTTATTTCATTTTTTCAAGTTTTCAAATGCATGAAAACGTAAAGCCTTATATCTCTCTATTGCGCGGCAGAAAATAATTACGATTTTGAGGACGTAATTTCAGGGCTTTTCCCCCGAGGAAAACCTCGATTACTACTACTTGAGAATCCCTTCCTTTTTTCGATTCGCAGAAAAAAGGAAAAAATATTTATTTTTCAACACAAGTTTTGAGAAAAAACGAAAAAAAAGGCCCGGGTATCATTTCCAAGAGTTTTTTCTTTAAAAATTCGCGGAACTTGCAATTCGTGGGAACCGAACCAGGAACTCATTTATCATGTGGCAAGCGTGCCACCAACTGCTCCATGGGCCGTGGTGACGTCGTTTTTTTTTTGCGATTTTTGAAAAATGTATGTAGAACTTTTTAAAAGCCGTTTTATGTAGTAATTTATTTAGAAATTTCAAATTAGTTGGACTAAAATTTCAAGTCTTTTTTGATCCCAAATTTGCTGTAAATAATCATTTGATTAAAGAAGAAAAAAGAGAAAACACCTAATTATTCGCTCTCTACCTCACTCAAAGCTGTCTCTAACCAATTTAGAAATTAGTCCTTGAATTACTTTGTTATTTCTCTTTTTCATAACTTTTTGCTGAGTCGATCAACGACGTCAGGTAGAACAAAACAAGGGAATAAACAGCGACAGTGTGGCACGATGGGATCGGACCAGTTTCTCTGTGTCTCTGTGGGCCTCTCCGGGGAGTTACTCGAGTACCTGCATCAGGTAAATCCGCCGGCGCCCTGCCACAGGTGATCGCCGTGGCGCGAGACTCTCGGCCCATGTGTCGGCGCATTGTAATCAAACACTACACGTGAACCTCACCAACCCTCATCCAGCCCTTTTTCTCGGCTTTTTTCTTGCCGCTCAAATTCCTCTTTGAGCCTATTTTATCTCATTTTTCAAAGAAATAATTGTACCTAGTTTTGAATTGTCCATGATAAAGGCGGCGTTTTGAAAATTTTTTTCATATTTTAGCTTAGTTCCAATTATTTCATGGCGCTGTAATAAGTTTCTAATTTTTTTTATGACGCAGCTCTGAAAGCATTGCGATTATGCCGTAATTATCATTTTCGTTCACTTTTTTTAAACCAACATTTAAAAATCAGTTGAGCCCAGAAGACGTTAGAACAACTTTTTCTTCTGAGGAAGTTACTTTTGGTTTTTTTGTTTTTCGGAATTTTTTTCTTTTTCCAATATTTAACATCTTGAATGCGATTTTTTTATTATTTGTATTGAAAAAGAAGTTTTCTGTGAGCCGCTAAGGACTTTTCACAAGTTATGAAATCATCTTGAAGACTTTCGGATAATTTTTTTTTTCAAATAGTTCAAATTTCTGAACTTCAGATCTTCTTGAAGCAGTCGCTTTCTCAAAATTTCAGAACAACTGTTGAGATTTTTGTGTCATCATTACGAAACTTCATTATTTTCCGGCAGAGCAGTATCGTGATTATGACTTCATTTTTGTGATTTTGCATCTTTTTTTCAACTATTTTTTTCACAAAAAAATTTTTATTTTATTTTTGATCAAAAAAAGTTTTTTTATAGTTTATTTTTTTCTCTTAGTAATCAGGCTGCGTTTAGCTTATATATAGAAAAATCTCAATTATTTTGATTAAAAATTTCTCAAAGAATTTATCCGGATTTCCCTGTGCGAAAGCCGAAAAAAAGAGTTCCTTCCTTCTTCTTGCTGAATTTCGCGTTGCTCTGTGTGGTGCAAAGCAATTTCCGGCCCAAAAAAGGCGATTATGCAAATCTTAACCCGATTTTCTACGTGTTTCTTGATTTGAATTTATTTTATTCTGTTCCTGGCAATTTTAATCAAAACGTTTCGAAATCCGAATTTTCATTGCATATTTGTACTCCTTTCTTGATTAGAACTTAATGGTTCTACTTTTTTTTCATTATCGCGTTTTCTTCGTTTCTTATCAGTACAGTTCTACGCGATAATCTGCAAAAGTTGACCGGGCTTTGTTCCAAATAAAAAAAGAGGCAGAGAGATTAACGTTGAGCGTTTTGTGTTAGATTCTCGAAGCTTTCAGTTGATGTGTAGCCAATTTGTTTTTTATATTGATATTGAGCAACTTTTCATCAAATTGAAGTTGAGAACACTTCTCGTTTATGTGTTGTAAAATTATGTTGATTTCGGGTGGTTTTAGAAGGTTTTGAGCTGTAATTTCATAACTGCGCAATCAATTTACCTTCATTTCGAGTTGTTTCGAAAAAAATACTTTTGAACCTTTTCTTGAGTTCTTTGTTGTTGCTGCGCAGTCAAATTTGCATCAGTTCTGATGGATACGTAGCGAGAAGCTCTTGTAACTGATGCGCAGTCAAATCGAGGTTTCTGTCTATAAACTGACCAGTTTCCCTGCAGTCGATGTACTTCTACAGAGAAATTCAGAGATCCTATTCGTTGCGATATTATTTCTGCGTTGCTTATTATGGAGAGTTTTAAGAATGGTTTGCAGCTGACGCGCAATCAATTTTCGTATTGGCCTCTTGACAATTATGATATCAAGTCATTTTATTTTTTTGTTGTGGTCAGATTTAATCAACTAGGCGATGAACAAGAACTTTTGAAGCCATAACGAACAACCGCCTTTGGCGAACTAGAAGTCCTAGCGTGTAGTCGAAAGAGTAGAAAGCATGATCTTACGGTCCTTCGCTTCGTTCTTCGCCTAGTCCATCCAGTTGCGCCTTGACGAGCTCAGGATGTAGCGGATCTTGTGCTGGAACCCGGAGACCGTGCTCTAGGTGGAAGCCTCAGAATGAGAGAGACCACTTCGAGTGAAGATTTTACACGGAATCGAGCCAAGTATCTTCAAAAAAGTTTAAATAAGATTTAAGAGCAATCCAATTCTAGAGAAGTAGCTATGGGCAGCTATTTTTTTGGCTCAACTTGCGAAAAATCTGCTCTGAAAATAAAAACTTGAGACGAAAAACGGAGACGAATCCAAAGAAATGTTCATGCAGAGCCAATACTTTTTCAACTACTTGTAGACACGGAGCTTTTCAAGAGCTTTTCCGATTGATCGATCCACTGCGAATTTCTTCTTTTGTCTCTCAGTTCACACCATACTCATCTAATCATAATCGAATTCGGAGCTTCAAAAGCGCCGTCGGAACGTCTTTCGCCTCTTCGATATGGAGCCACGTCCTCCTTCCAAACATTCATCTATGTATATATATAATGTTTGTCTTTCGATTGTCAAAAGGGCACGATTGCCCCGTTTTGGCAGAGGGAAAATTTGGCAACATTTGCGTCGTTTTTGATAAGAATTCTGCTGGGGGACGACGGCGGCCGGATGGAGCGAGAAAGAGAAGAGAAAGAGCAAAAACGGGACCGATAAAAAAGTTTTGACGACGGCCTTTTGCGGACGACGACGCTTCAGGGGGCATTACGGCGAACTTTTTTTGGTTTTCTGAGTATTCGATGTCTTCTTCAAAGTATACCTCTCAGAAGTTTTATGTTTTTTTTTTCATTTCAAGATGATTTTTCGAAAATTTATTTTCCCTCTTATACTGTTTGACATCTTCTTGAGATCATATCTTCCACAAAGTTTGAAATTTTTTTTTGATTAAACTTTCAAAAGTTTTCTTGGGTATGGTTTTTTATAAAGCTTCCTCTTTAGAGGGAACTGCATATCCCTTCATTAATTTATATGAATTTTTTTCTTCCGACTTGCTTTTATTTGGATCATAAAACCTTTGCTGAAGAAGACGAACTACCCTTTTTAATTTATTTATTCTGAAAAACTTTGAAATTTAATTATCTGACGTCTCCTCGGAAAAAAAGTGTTTACTTGACCCAAAAACCGCTATATTTTTAGCGTCGATCTGCAGTTAAATAAGATTATTTCTCTTTTTTTAAAAATCAAATTTTCATATTTTTAACTTTTCTCCGTTTTCTGACGGCTTTTCAGCTTTTCGAGCCGCTTCATCTTAATATTCTTCCTCTTATCTCCTTTACGAGGTTTAATAAGAGTCGACTCTTTTTTTTCGACTTGAAAGAGTCAAATTCTGTGAATTTTTTTAAAGTTTCATTTTTTCTGGGCTTTGTCAGGCTTTTCATCCGATGATCAGTTGAAACCTTTATCAGGATTCAGAAAAAGATATGTTTCAGAAGTTTCAGAAAATATTAAGACGTTTTTAATCATTCCGATTACAGGAAACTAATTGAATTTCTTGATTTATTTCACAATCAGATTATTTTTCAGTTTGGTATGTGGTTAGTGTCATCATTAAGTAGATGTATAAATATTTTTTTAGTTCATTCTTAGGACCTTTCTTCCATCATACCGTCCTTGAAGTCAAAATAATCAAGTTTTATTCAGTTTTTGAGCGTTTCTAGTCGGTTTTGAGCTCTTTTTATTTTTCTAACAAGTTCTGTCTGAAGTTGTGAAATACGAGTTTTATATATTTCGAAACGAATCAGTGAAATTCTCAGAATTTATCACTTTCCTTCTCTTCTTTATCAAAAAAAACTGAAGACACCACTCAAAAGGTTTTTTGAAGTTAGTTTCATGTTTTCTTTTCAAAAAACCTCTTTTTTGCTTACCGTGGGTTAAGAAAAAAACTTAAGCGGTTTAAAATGACGTGAGTTAAACGGTCACGTGTTTTTCCTTGGACTTGGTCACAAGTTGGATAGAAAAATCAGTTTTTTTGATCAAAATATCACCTTATTCTTGATAAAAAGCTTTTTCAGAATCTTCTCAAGCATGAAGAAACCTCTTCTCGGTTTTTTTCAAGCCTTTTTTTAGCAAAATTAATCGGAAATTTAGCTATCGTTTTCTGGTTTTTTTGTCATTGTCAACGTAGTTCGATATTTCGAATTATGACGAATAGAAAAAAAAGATTTCAAACGGAAATTAAATAATCTCCGAGAAAAATTTGATTTTCGTACCTTGTTTTTCAGTCATCATTCCTAAAAAGCGACAAATTTTGTCTATCATTTCCATACAATTTCCTGTTTTTTACCCACTAATCTCCGGTTTTTTTCATTGATAATATCTGAGGAGGCTTTACGTCTGCGTTTCCTGCGAATAACAATAATGAATAGGCCGTTTTTTCTTTCTTTGCTTCTCATGAAGAAGATGAGACAAGAATGACAAATTGCCGATCTTTTCAACTTTTCCTTGAGAGGATTATGGTAGGAAAAGAGTAATCTCTATTTTTTTTCAAAGTTGACTTTTCTGAAAATCGGCTCATTTGTTATTTGTCCGAAAAAAATGCCTTTTTGAAAATTTCTTTCAAAGTTTCAATAGTACAAAAGGAATTTGAAATAAATCTCAATTTTTCAGAACAAAAAGTTTTTTTTTTCATTTATTTTTATTTTTTTTAACTTTTTTATAAATTTAATCAGAAGTTTATATTAGATTTTGATATTTTGAAAGTGTTCTTTGATATAGTGAAACTATTCGAAGATCGTCGAATTTTATTCTTTTCAAGGGTAAAGGAGAACATCTTCATTCGGAGTGTCTTTATAAAATTAAAAAAATCTCATTTTTTTAGCTTCTCAGATTCTCATACATAGTTATACCAGATTTAATAATAGAAAATCGAAGTGAACAAAAAAATGAGGAAATTTCCCATTTTTTTCCGACTTTCTGTGTAGAATTTGGCGTCCAGCAAAATTTTGCCAGATTCGATAGAAATTTTGAAAATTTTCTGTTAGAATTTTTGAACTTTTCCAGTTTTCTCAGCAGATTTTCCCTTCTGGAAGAGTACGAAGTTTGCTCACAACAAATGGAACAATTAAGACCTGATTTTTCATAAAATCCGGAGATTTTTCCTCCGAGAAAAAAGAACCTCGTGGCAGCGGCAAGAAAAAAGAGGAAGAAATTCGGAAATATATGCAAAAAGTGTGTAATGACGCGCGTCACACACACATACACTTCGGAGTAAAACCGTTGAAATTCGAACCCGATGTGGAGCCTGACGGAGCTCACGGAAAAGGGGCGTGGCTCGGGTCCTTGTTGCCCCCCTTCCTATTCCAAAAAATCTTTTTCTTTCCGCCATTCGACCCTCGAAAACTTTCGTCTTCCTATTCCCACTAAGTTTTCAGACTAAAATTCATGTTTTCACATTTTTTCATAAAATCAGACTTGCCGTAGGGCAAACTTGATCTTTTGGACCTGCCACCTGCTTTTTTTTCAATGTCGAGAACGCCTGATTTTGTTAATTTTTCTTGTAAATGTGTCTTGGGGTTTTTTTTTCTGTGAGATTTGCGCAAAAATATTAATTTTTTTTTAGATTCCTATGTTGCCACTGTTACATTCCGAAAAATCATTAGAGAGAGATTTTTTCGTTATTTTAGCATTGGAGCGGAGTTGAAACTTATAAAATAGCTATGTAAAAAGTTCTACAGGCCATCGTTTGAAGAGGAATTTTTCTTGAATTCATATCTTATTTTTTTAAACTATTTGTTTCATTTATGAAACCCTCGAAATTAGCGAACTTGAGAACATCTTCGGTCTTAATTTAGAAATAGAACATTTTTGATACTTCTTTTAAAACTTTTTTTCTTTGCAAAATTTTTTTAAAGCTCCCATTTTCTGGTATAATATCATAGAGCATAGTAAAATTTATTTTTTGTTTTGACTTTTTGAAAATTTTCCTTTTTGCGGTTTAAAAATCGTCGTTTTCGTACTTTTTCAACTCTTTTTGCTGTTTTTCAACTACGGTTCTCTTTAGAGCTTACTTAAGTTCCGTGAATAGTCTTTTTTTCGTGGGAACTTGAATATTTCACACCTCTCTGGGAACAGAATACAATCAAAGTTTTTTGCCTTTTCGTTCTGGTCTGGAAGATTTTGGCCAAAAGTTTTGATTATCATTGAAGCTTCAATAAGTTGAAAACACTTCTTCATTTTTTTAAAATTGAATTTTGAAAGACAATTTCTCCCTCACCTCACGCTAAACCATAGATCATTTTAGAGGTTTTGAAGTTTGTCTGCTACAATTTTTCCCGCTTTGTAGTTTTGTTTCTCTTGAGCGTGTTGAAATTTCATTGGAGACTTGTTTTTCTCAAAGTGTTGAAGTGTCAATTATAGGGTCTCTGAACTTGAAATTGGGGGTTTCAGTTCGAGAAGTTATCTTTTCAACAAATATTTCAAGGCTTAAGACTTATCAGAACCCGAAAGTTGATCCGATTTCCTTCAAATTTTTGGCTGTAAACCGATTGTAATATTATTCAATTTCGAACCATGAGCTCATTTTTTTTCTTCGCGTAAATTTTGGATTTGATGACCAAAACTTCAGTTTTCCTGCTTTTTTTTGAGTTTTTCTCAAAGTTCATTCTCATTTTGAAAAAGTCATTTTTATCGTCCAAATGACCAAAAATCCTTTTTTTTTTCTATCGATGTCTGTCTAGAAGTTGCATGGCCTAATTGGTGCTCAACTTTTTCTTCAACCAGATTAGAGAGAACTGTAATTCGATAATAGTGCTTCTTCTTGTTTTATCTATTTTGAGGTAATAGAAATTTATTTTTTCAAAAACGAATCGAAAAAAAAATTGGTTGAAATTGAAGTTTTTCGAGAAAAATCAAGAATTTCCCGAACGAAAATCCTTGCTTCTTATTCAAAGTTGATCTTTCTGAACCAAGTGAAAAGGTTTTCCCTTCACTGAAAAGCTAGGGAAAAACTCAATCCATTCATTTTGCGCCGTCGCAAGTGCTTCCGAAATTCCACCGTGCTCATTTTCTTCACGTTCCTTCAGGGCTGAAAAAGGCGGTTGCTCATCGATTTCCCCACTTTTTTTCTCTTTTTTTTCCGCTTTCAACGTTTGCCCCCAGGCCATTTCGGCTCGATTTATTCATTTTGACGCGATGGCGTGGCCATGACAAGAAGGAGTCGGAGAGACCCGACTTTATAGTTTTTTGTTCGGTTTTTGATGAACCGTTTGCAGAATGTTCGCCTACGACAGGCTTGCCTTGGACCTGGCCGTCTTCAACATCGGCTCCAACAATGAGAATAGTCCGTCGCCGCCGAGGCCCGTCTCTACCGTACGCCTTTTTACAGATTTTTGTGCAGTAGAGTATTTAAGAGAATGTTGAGAATGCAAATTTTTCAGTTGATTCTGAGCTTAAAATCAACTTTGTTCATGCGTGTAGTTGAGCACACTATTTTTCAAAAAGAAAGTGAAAGTTATAAAATGGTTGGAAAGTGTATCTTTCCGCTTTTTCAAAATTTTTTATGCACAAAACTACGGTTAGATTCATTTTTAGCAAAATTGTCAAGCCGAGCTTCTCCCTATAATTACTTATCTTAAGATATCGTACTGTTTTAATTTTTTAAACTTTTTTGCATTTTTCTAATAGGTATGGTATACCGTATAGATCTTTTGTTCCTCATTGAATGGTTGTAGATTTTCTTGAAATTTGGTTATGAAAAATGCTCAATATTTTTCTCATTCCTCATAAAAAAAGTTGTGATTCTTAAAACTTTCTGCGACAGTGATTTCTGGCTTTCCAGATAGTAGAAGCTTACAGAATGATTTTTGAACCAAAAAAATCAAAAAAATTACAAATTTTTTTCTGTTTCAAAAAAACCTTCAACTCGCAGGATAATTATGAAAAAAATTTGATGAATGTATTCTTCAATTCTCATTTCTAATGAAAACATGTAAAGTGCTCTTGTTTTTCCGATAGATGACGAAAAAAATCAGGGTCAATTGGATGTTTGCCGTTCGAAAAAGGCGACATGTTTTTAAAATCTTTTAAGCGCGTTAATTCTGAGAGAACTTTGGAGTATCATTTTCAAAAAAAATAAAGTGTTTTTTTCTAAAACCCTTTATTTTTAATGAACACGTTCTACAGTCAAATTGGATACTCAGAAACATTCTCAAAAATAACTCGAGTTTGAACAAGAAGAGATAATTAAAATTCCCGTTTTCTTCAGGCACAAAATATCGGCGATGAATCGGGCAGTAGTGGTTACGGGAGTCCCATACGTACCCCGCTAGCTTCTCCTTCAAATGACATCTTCAATTGTGAGTTTCGATTCATTATCGAGTTTGATAGTTTTCTTTTTGATTATTTTGCGATTGAACAGCCTCTGAATTCCGTCAGAGTTTCCAATTATTCTGAATCAATTTTTAAAAAGCTTAAAATATATCATATTTTTTTTGGAAATATGCCGCTTCTAATTTATACTACGGAAATTGTAGCAATCACATCTCTTTTTTTTCAACTTTTCTATGATTACAAACTTCCCGACTCGCCACTACAAATTTTCTGAAAAAGAACATTTTCCCAGGTTTTTTCTGAGCTTTTGGTTCGGTTCAATGTGTTATTGGTCTCTTTCGAGAGTTTTTTTCCTTTTTTCCTTGAAGGGCCTTTTTTCTGTATATTTTCATTTCTCCGTTGTTCCAGAAGTGATTCACAAGTTTTTTTTCCACAGACAAACGAAAAAATTACGTAAACAAAGGTTTTTTCTTTCTTATAACATTCTGAAATGATTATTTATGCTGGTTTCAGCTCTTCTACCGGTTCAAGTGCAACGGGCATTTTCTGCCCAGGGTCCAGAAGATATCGCCCGGCATTTTGGCGTTTCGCCAACTACGCCAATGCACACGCCAGTTCCGAAATCTGAGGTAATTTTTGACAAAATATGAGTGAGTCAGAGATATTCATAAAGAAAGTAGCAATTTTCTTCCAACAGGCGTTTTTTGAAAACTCTCTATAAGAACCTACTAATTTTGAATTTCGAAAAATTTTGAAAAATAAGGTGGCTTATTTTGAAGGGGCAAGTCCGCTGATAAAAAAATAATTTTTTTCGTATTATCACTTGCTCTAAAACCCAACACACATCCGATTTTACACAACAATTCCGGAATGACTTCCCCGTTTTTCTCAGTGGAGAACGCTTGTTAAAAATTGTTGTAACTGTTGTAATCCTGAGAGAGAAGGATTACGACAACTTTAAACTTCTTTTTTGATTAAGAGATTTTTTTGCACGGCAAAATTTGATAGTAGAGACAAAAAAAGAATTGCGAAATTAAAAAAATTCTTTTTAAAAGTTTATAGTTAGCTTTTTCTAATCAAGGAAAAAAAGCTTGATGAATATTTCGAGATGGAATTGATAAATCCAAATTTTTTTGGTTCCAATTTTTCGATTATTAGAATTATTTATCATTCATTTTCTCATAAGTACAGTAATTTTTCGAACTTTTTTTCAATTCGAACGTGTTTTTTCGATTTTTTCAAGCTGAAACAAGAAATTATTTTTCATATAATTTCCAGACAGTATTATAAAAAAAATTCCATATAAAGTTTATTCAAAAAAACATGTGAGAAAAATTTAAACGCCTTCCGAAATATCAGAATGGTTTTTTTATCGGAATGAAAAATTTTTTTACGGTTTTGTTCACATTTTTTTCTGCGTTGGTTTCAAGATCTGTTCACTGTTTCTCTGTGGTATATTTATAAATTTTCTATGGTTCTGAATCTAATTCTTCTTCCTCTATAAATTTAAAAACAAAAACTTCAGATAAAAACGCTTCAATAATTAATTTCCAACTAAAAAAAAGTCTTTTATTTTTTCTTTTTCGAAAAAAAAAATATTAATGAGCCCAAGTCATCTGGAACATAATCGAATGAGATGAAAGGAGAAAAACCTTTGAAAGAATGTCGGGAACTCATTTGTGTGTAAAAAGCTTTTGCTTCACGTGAATCCTCGACGATTGTAATGCATTTTTTGTGCTCAAGTTTTTCCTCGTGTCTTATTTTTTGAGGAGGGTTCATCCATTGGAGATCTCAAGATATGTTATTTTTCGCGGTTTTTGAGGGTTGAGAGTGATAGGGGCTGACGTGAATGAACAGGAAAAATAGGGCTAAGTGGTTTATCAAATACTTTACAAGGGGGGTGGATGAGAAAAAAAGAGTGGTAAAATTTTGAGAAAAACGTACAAAAAAATCCAAACTTTCATCGAAAAAAAATGATTGATTTGTCACAATTATGCTTCAATAAAACTTGAAAACTTTCTCATCCAATTGAATTTCAGTTAAGCGAGCGTAATTGTTTTTCCTAGAACTTCAATAAAATCTTGTGAGAAGAGTTAAAGTATAAATAATATATTTTTATATTTTTCCTATGAAAAAAACTCTGATATAATTGATGAACTTCAAAAAAAACCAAATTTTCAAAGTAACTTATTGAGATCGATTTTTTTCAAACATCCTTCGCCGAATAACGGGCTTTACAAAAATATTCAAAAATTCCGTCTTTTGGATAATTCCCAATAACTTCAGGGAAAATTTCTTATTTTCAGACAAGAACATCCAAAAAAGTTAACGCTCCCCAATTGTAGAGCAAACCTACATCTTTCCAATGAGAATAAAAACAAAAAAAATCTTCTGAATGTGCTTCAAATGACTTCTCATCAAAAATCCTCATTTTCAGGACACGCCGATGGCTGTCGAAGACGGCTTCTCAAAAGACGAAATCGCAGGATTCGCCGAACTTCTTTCGTCACCAAAAAAGGTTTTAATCCTTCTTCTCCTTTTCAACAAAAAAAGGTTTCACATTTGATCAAAAAACGCTTATTTTTGAGAAAGTCTGTGAAGTTTTCATTTTTTCCGAGCTTTATTAGAGAAAAATTGAGAATGAACAGTTTTTTTTCGTCTTATCTGATGAATCTCTCCATTGAAATTTGTTAACCTTGGGAAAATCTTTTTCGGAAAAAAAAAGAAAAATTCAAAAAAAACCAACTTTTTCCTTAACATTTGAATCTTAGTAATAGAATTCCGGTTAGTTATAACCATTAATTTACTCAATTTCTCTCAAAAAAATTATTTATTATCCATCGAGCAAACTTCAGACAAAAAGAAGCAACCTTTTTCAGTCTGAAAATCTCACTTATAACAATAGTGTTTTTTTCTGAACACGGTATCATCAGTTAGAAAAAATACAAGAAAAAAACTAGTTTTCGATACAAAATGAATTTAGCAGCCGCCAGCACGCTACCAATGCCACATATGCTACGCCAGCGGTCATCACTACATTTCCGACTGCCCCCAGGTACCTTTTTGCTCTTTTCTGACGAAAACGAGAGCTGGAATCGAACCACGGACTGTTTCAACAATAAAGTCTGTTTTTTCAGCGATTCAACTCGCCATACGACGAGTTGACGCCGTACCAAGGCCGGAAGAAGTGCTACGGCGAGTTCACGGTGAGATTTCTGTTTCTCATGAAGTTCAAGGAAACTTGAAGAAGTTGCGGAGTACTTGTTTGAAAGGGTGTGTAATTTTAAGTTGTGAATGGAAAACCAAGCAAAAAAGTGGCATTTTAAAAGAAGTTTTTTTAAATTTCGATGAGAAAAAAACAGAAAAAAATTTCTTTAGAAAAATAATTTTTTTCCAGTTTTTTTCGAAGTCTTTTTTTACATTGAAAGGGCATTTTTTTCATCAAAAAAATTCTTTTTTTCAACTCGAGGTTGAGTTTTTTTAAATATTTCATTTTGAACTTATACCTTCTTTCAGAGGTAAGAAATTCTCCACAAAAAGTAAAGTTTTTTTCATTTTTTTATGAAGATACGTTTCTATGAAAGAAGACTGAACTTAACTGCACATATCCAAATTTTTCATTTTTTTCCCTCAAATTTAATTATTTGAATGAAGCATTCTTTCATAGTGTTGAAAAAGAAGTCAGAGCCAAAAACGCGACTGAAATCATAGAAAAGTCTTGATATGATAAGTCAGCTCAGGAAAGTAGATTTAAGAAAAGTTGGAGATTTTCAAATGAAACCTCGTAAGGAGATGAATTGAGCTAAAATCTATACAAAACGAATGATTTTTCAGTGCCAACAGTGCAAACGCAAGTGGAACAGCCAGAACAGTGTTGCCAATGAAGCGCAGTCCTGCATCAAATGTCACGTTCCCGTTTTTCCGCACAAACAGGTACGAAATTGGAGTATAAGGATTCAGGTCCAGATTTTTGATACTAATTATAAGAATTTGGCTGCAAAATAAACTTTAGAACTTATTCAAAAAAATTAAATTTTTCCTTTTTTTAATCAACCAAGGTTTTTTTCGAAGAATTAGCTTCAAACAAGCTGTAAAAAATTCACAGCTAGTCCCTTTCTTTGGAAGGTTTCTCTTCCCAACTTGATTCCCTCCTTCGATACAAATTAAATCAAACTTTTCTGCGGCCGCCGCTCAGATTGGTGCCAAATAAATTGGTTAACTCTGTCTGTGTGTGGTTTATTCAGGGGAAATATGTATACTTTCAATTTTTATTTGATTTTGGTTGTTAGTTGTCGTGGTTATTTGTACACACAACAGTGGAGTTTCCGTAGGAGAATGATTATGGTGATTATGACGTCGTATCCGAGTAAATTGTATGAAAAAACGCTTCTTTTCGAAAATGGATTTAACGACCAGCTTTTCGAGAATAAACCATAAAACAGAGAGTCACTCTAAAAAGAGGCGTAAACAAGAAGAAAAAAAGCCCGGAGGATTCGAACCCATGACCTTTTCTCCACAAAGCAACTTTTTAACCAAACGGTCAACATTTAACGTATAATATTCAGCTTCCCGTGGAAAAAGCCGTGACATTGGGGCTGGTCAAGGCGCAAAGCGTCGCCAAAGTCGCGCCAATCGGCCACGGACGACCGCCACGAAAAAGCGACGACGTGTCGCCGGCGCGACGCCAGTGACGTTATCGCGACAATAGTGATGTCATTTCGTAGATAATGACATCATGGATTCTAGTCCAACTACTTTTTGCGTTCATTCTTGTCCTGCCGAGCACCGGTTCATACTGGTGATATTTCTTGGTTAATCTGTAAGAGGCGTTTTATAATTTTAATAGGAAAAGTGACGTCATTCTGGAAATTTCTATGTTGGCTCGACAATAGATGACGCCAGTTGAAAAAAAAAATTCAAGAAATAGTTTTGACGCCAAGGATAATCAAGTTTTCAAGTAATTGATACCGTTGCGAAAAAAAAACATTTTCTGGTGAAATTTTTTTTGATTGACGATGACGTCACTTTTCTAATATTGATTCGAAACCAGTAAAATATGGAAGGCCTTGATATTTTTCGCGTAGAAGAACCAATCTAATCTACTTGTACAGTAATCCTCTTTTTTGGAGCGCATTTGTCCCGCCACTCCGAAATATTTGTACACATTGGAAAACTTTCCTCAAATCAATCTTTTCAGTTAATTTTTTTTCTTTTTATGTTCTCCTTGTCAAAATAAGAGCTTTCACGATTCGTGATAAAAATAAACAAGAATAATGGAATGTTTTTAGGGCGTGTATAGTTTTAGTTTAGTTTTTTTTCTCGCGCTGTTTTTTTTTTTTCAGAATGTACATGTTCTCCCTCTTGGTGTGTGTAAAAAGCCAAAACTTTTCTGTAAAATAATTGAAAACAAAAGCAAATATAAGAAGTTTATCGTGTGTATTTTTTTTCTCTTTTTTTGTGTGTAAATTTGGTTCTTTCATTTTTCTAAATAATCATCGCAAAATTATTGACCTTGTCCTTCAAAAATCATCTTCCCGGTTGTTTCATGTTTTGTACACCCTCTTCATATTGCGATCTTTCTTGACTTGATTTCAAGTTACATTAATAAATGGTTTTTTTTTCTTGGTGTATTATTTATATATCAATTTACTTTCAAGAAAAGAAAGTCGAAGTTCAAAGAGAATATTTGAAGAAAAATGGTTGAAAATCTCAAAAGTCTGAATGAATTGATGTAGAGTTTTTGAAATAAAAATCCCTTGAAGCTCTTTGTAAGAAATTTAAAAACTGTAGAGGCAATGTAACCGTGAAACGTTCGTGAGTTCAATACGAAATTTTCAGCGTGAAAGTTTTCAGCGTTTTTGTGTTGTACCGTTTCACGCTAAATTAAAACCGAATCCCCTTTACAAGTACATAATGTCAGCCGAAAATGTGCAATTTCAATTAAATATACGGTATGATTGAAATAAATTGAAAAAAATTGCCTGAGATTATTCCTAACTTTTTTTACTGGTTTTTTTCATCTATTATTTGAGATCAATCAAGTACGAATATTTTTTCAACGATTTCTTTGCTTTCGTTTCATTTTCATTTTGAATAGAACGTCTTTATTACAGAACCGCGATTTTTTCGCAGCGAAATGTCGAGTCAATTTGTTTCCTACAAGTCAACCGAGGAACGATGTCGAACGATTATTCCCCCAGGGCCATTTTTGGTTTGAACAAAAAAAAGACGCAGTGCGGAATATCAAAACGTTTGGCCTCATCACTCTTTCCTCTCCAGGGACCCTCAAAACTCCCAAAAAGGGCGATTCAGGTTTTTTTTTCCCACTTCCAATGTTTTTTCTCAATTTTCATCGGCAATGAATCAAGCAGGAATTCTAATTCATTGCTTTCCCTTGACCACAAAGAGGAATATAAATTTATATTGCTTTTTTTTCCGGCGGCCTCATTCATTTCCACACGTGCGCGGTCAAAATTGCTCATCTTTTCTCTTCTGTCACGGCTTCACTGAGCACTTCAGCCAGAATGAAATATTTAAAAGAGGACAAAAAAGGCGCGGAAAAGCCGTTTTTATTCTGTCGTGTCACGGTCAAGCCTTGATGTTTGATTTTCGCAAAGGCTCTTTTTGCACGTTTGATTGTTCAAAATTGCGAATTTTCGTAATGGAGTTACGTTAACGAAATGATAGATGATATAAAAAAAGTTTCATTTTCAAAATAGTGAAGCATCTTGCCTAAAATGGGCAAATCTGTTAATTTCAGTTCTGTCTGAATGTTTTCAATATTTAGGATCGAGTTTATTTTGGGCCTTAACGTGAACTCAATCCATTCGATTTTAAGTATTCCAAAACCTACGGAGGCGAGAGAAAGAGAGAGAGCAGACAGTAATAGCTTTTGACTTTCTGTAGGCGGATTACGGTAGAAATTGCTCATTTTTGACGAAATTTATGAGAATTTTTACTGTTCTATTACAAAGTTTTTCTTTTTTGCAAGTTTCATTCGTAATTCTTCAATTTCTTAATAAGGTTAATATCATTAACATGCAATTTTTTGCTCTACGCCGTTCGAGTGAGAAAAAAAAGCGCAGACTGTCCAACTGTTTCAAGTTGAGAGTGAACGAACTATAGTAGAACCATCAAGAATTTTCTTTTTCCCTGCTTTGAAGAGATAAATGTAATTTCCAACTTTTTCTTCTAAAGATCACTCTCAATTTCGCGTGTCAAGTTTATCACATTTGCTCGTTGAATTTTGCTCTCCGGCGTTCCTAAAAATCGAGTTTATTCGCCGTTTTGTTGACGGCTCTCGAAGACCTAAAAGCTCCACGTTTAACCAGCGAGGGAAACAACAACTAGAAGGAAAACGGGCCGAATCTTTTCGCAACACGCTCTAATATGCAGTAAAAAGGCACACATATAGAGACACAAAAGGTGGCTTTGGACACAGGTTCAGCCAGGAAACTACTGAAGAATGCAAATTGGCCACGACGGCTTCACAGAGTTCAATTCAGAGTTGTAGACACTAAAAAAAAAAAGAAAGTCCATAGTTTTTCGAAGAGCTGTGAATTTAAAGTAAACAGGGACGAAACGCGCACTTTCATTTTTTTGAATTTTCATTTTTGCTGGGAGGTGAGATAATATTGAAGGCTATTCTTGTATTTCTATTTTTCTGAAGTTTCTGCCAATTAGGATGATACCAGAAAGATTCTGATCGTCTATTTTGAAGGTTAGACGACCTGATGATTTGGGTTCCGAATGGCTTCTTGAAAGTCTTTATTGGTTAGAAATTCGTGAAAAATGAAAAACAAAGGCTTCTGTCTGGAAAATGGGCAATGAAAACGTGATGAAAAAGGTTCTAGTTAGGAATTTAAAACAAAAAGTTAAAATTTTTCGGTCTCAAATCTCATATCTTCAAATTTTGAATAATTGAAGATTTATTCCACTTAGAGGCAAGAACACGGCCTACAAAAAACTTGAATGCAAATTCTAAGATCTGTTCGGTAGTTTAGTAGCCATTGTGGAGGTTTTCGGTGTAGCTATGCTTCAAAGAGTAAATTAAATAAAGACTTGATCAAGGATCATCATCATGAGTGACGGTCTCCAGCGAGAAAGAAGCTTCATCGAAGAATCCGGTTCAGTTGTTCAGGATCCCATGTGAAACTTGAACAGACACCTAGTTTTATAAAAACAGACACCTAGTTTTATAATAATGGTCCAGGAAGACCCAGTTTCACTAAAGAGAGACGACACCGACCTTTTTGATAGTTTCTTCAAGTTCAAGTAGGCTGCAAAAGCTGAAGCTCACTTTAATCAAAGAGTGAGGACCATCATTAAGTTCGGTAATGGCTAGTAGAAGCTTGACTCTGTTGAAAGTTGGAAGCTTCTAAAGTTCCAACCCTGAAGAACTTCCAGGTTCTTCAAAGCCGCCATTAATGAACTATGGCTTCTTTAGCGGTTTTCCAAATCAGTTCGGAAGTTATGCTAAGTAAGGCTCAGAGAAGTTGTAAAAGTGTCACTTCTAATGAGAATTGAGAATCATCATTCTCTTTGACGGAGTTCTGTGTAAAGTCTTCACTCTGCTAAGGTCGCTCTCATTTTGAGGCTTCCACCTAGATCACGGTCTCCGGGCTCCAGCTACAACGCCCGCTACGTTTTGAGCTCGTCAAGGCGCAACTAGATGGACTACTCGAAGAACGAAGCGAAGGACCGTAAAGTCCTGCTTTCAACTTGATCAACTACACTTTTTGCATTTCTAGTTCGCCAAAGGTGGTTGGCCGTCATACCCATGAAAACTCACCGTTTAGTCGATCAAATCTATGACTAAAATAACAACAGAAAACTATAGATGACTGATTGATATTTAGTAGGAGCATGGCTTTTTTTCGAACTCTTCTTTTCGAACTTGAAAGACTCGTTAATTTTTTGGGAAGTCACATACTAGCAGTGGAGTCGTTTTGCGGATAGTTGGCTATTCCAAAGTTTCAGGACCAGCGGAGCTTGAAGTATGGTGTAAATATTAAAGCTCTTTAATCAAGAAAGAAGCACCAACTTCGACTATAAATGGAAGAGCCTGCTTTCGTGAAACTTCGAGAGATCGCCAAGACATAAGCAGATCAAACCGAGGCCATCTTCCAGAACTGAGATAAAATCCAATCAGTCCCTAGTCCAGCCATTTTCCGTTGTTGGTGTTGTTGGTGGTATTGGTGGGAAAAGCCCCTCTGAGGAGCTTTCTTTTCTGGAGCTGTGTCCTATCGATTCGCATGAGGCCGCCACACAGACGCACAGAGACACGGCTTTTTCTGCCTCGATATGCAAGAAGCGCCTCTTCCTCCTCTTTCCTTTTTAGGCCCAACCTCCTCTTGTTTTTTTTTTCTTTCTTTTTTTTTTCTTTTTTCATCGTGGGGAAATCGCTTTTTATCGACATTTTTCTGTTATGACGACACGTTTTTTTTTTCCAAAAGCGTGGGTGTCGCTTTTTGGTTCTGATAGTGTGGAGAAATCGGTTCTCCACACTATCAACCCGTTTATGCAGCGTTTTTTTAAAGAATAAGTTTTAATAGTCATGACCATGATTTAGAAACTTTGAGCTTTGTTTTTTTTTTCAAAAGTTCAACCCTGAACTCTGCTTTAAGTAGCTGAATAAGTAATTACTAGTGTTTCTTTTTTTGCATGCCTTTTTTGGAGCACTTTTTCATAATGACCACTCTCGCAATGTTGCCTTTCTTGATGCTCGTTTTAGGAGCCTATTATTATTCTTTCTAGGTGAATAAATGGAATTTTTTTGATCAAACTGAGATCATTGGCCTTTTCGGGCTTGAGATTTTTTTGCGTAAAGGAAATTTATTCAAAACTCGATTTTTTTTTAATATTCAGTTTTTTTCAATGTTGAAACGAAAAAAACTTTTTGAATTTCGAAAGTTTTTTTGAAATTATTGTCTTCTTTTTTTCATAATTTTCGAGTGTGTTCATCTTTTTTTAATTCTTAAAACTTTTTTTCGGAGTATTTTTTTTTTCCCATTTCAAAAAAACAGATTGATTTGAAACCCGATCATTTCCAAAATAAAGTTTGAAAAAATTCATTTCCATAATGACCAGGTTCAAATGTTTTTCTTTCAAGAGCAATCAAACAAAAAAACTATTTCCGTTGCAGTTTTTTTCAGTTCATTTGGCTTTTTTTGATCCTATTTTTCAAATTTTTTTAGAGCCCTCCTTTTGATTTTTTTATTTTTTTAATATGATTTTTTTACTTGTTTATTAGTTTTTTTCTTCAAGATTTGATAAAGACAGTTCAAGGATTTTTTTCTTATAAACGATTTCTTCAATTATCTTTACTCTTTTTTTCGTTTCGAATCGAGAAAAAAACATATTGAGGTTTTGTTTACGATTTGACCAGTTTAATCTAGATAAAAGTTTCCAAAATCCATCTTTTTTTGTAAAATGAGGTTTTTTTGGAGATATTCTTTCAAAATTTTGTAATTGAAATTCCCAGAAATTTTTCTAATTCACGCCATTTAAAAGAAATAAGCGTCTGAATTAATTTTAGATTCAAGTCAGTAAACTAAAAAGTTGAAAATCATGCTTCTCCATTCAAAATGAATAAAAAAAATGTTCATATTAATCTAAAGAAGCTAATTTTTTATTTTGCTCGCCTTATTTTGAAGCAGCTCGATTTTTTTTTACCTAGGAAGTCAAGTTAATGGTAAATGATGGAAAGGTAATCTGCTGAAAGACCAGGAGGGTTTTTTTGTGGAAAAAATATAAGTACCATTCTCTAGCTCAAGACAAAAGAAATGCCTCTTTTTCAGCACACTGATTAGATAAAATTGTAGAAGCTCTCCAAATATCGCCTCTTGTTGGATGTGACTGAACTTATACGAAAAGTTTAGGATTTCTTTCAGACTTTTGGACTTCAAGCCGAAAAGAAAATGAATTTTGTATATCTTTCGACTACAATTACTTGTCTGCGCCAAACTTCATCGCAATATTTTCTGACCGTGTCTAGGCTTTTTTTCTCTAGTTTTCTTCCCAATCAACTATATTCTCTTTGCTGCCAATTGTTTCTTTCATTTTCCGGTCAACATCTCGAATTTCACATTTTTCGTCCCATGTCGTTTGTCATTTGCATTCGCAAGTTATTCTCTTTCTATTTCCGCCTTTTTTTGCTCCTTCTTTTTATGTTGTTCTTTTAACGACGATCTTAATTGAAACAAATTGAATTATAAAAATATGGCAACCTTTTCTTTGATTTACAATTAATTAAAGATTAATGAGCTAATTCTAATTCGCTCTTCAAAGCATAGTAGTGCTTGAAGTTCTTACTTCAGCTTATTTTTTGCCATTTTTACTAGAAAAAAATGGTTCAGAAAATTTATATTTTTCGGAAAGCAGGTGTGAATTTTAGGTTGTGGAAAAGCAGCTGTTTGTACTTTTTAGCAGGCATTCATATTTCCATGTCGGTGCAGTATATTTGAAGCTTTTATTTGATTTTTTGAATAAGCCATTCTCACTGGAACTACGTAAAAAGTTTGACGTCATTGAGGGATGGTTCGAGCGATTTCGCGTCGCTGTTCGGAAGTTTCGAAATCGTATATTCTAAACTGTTCTCTTGATCAACTTGATGGCTTGAAATTCTAGTTTTTTTTAAACGAGACTAGAATTAAGAAAAAGCTTTAAAGTATTGTTTTTTTATTGATTTCTTACAAATTTGAAAACGTGAGATGAGGTTCTAGTCGATCTGCAACTTTAGCAGATTTTCAGAAAACTTGTACTTTATTTAAAAACTTCAACCAAGATGAAACCAAGAAAAGGATATTTTTGCAACGCTTCACAGATTTCAAGGCGAAATGGGTTTTTGTTTTCCGAGAATAACACAACCAGAAGTCGAAAAATGAGTCAAGGTAGAGGTGATGAAATCCTTTTTGAATCAGAAGATATTTCAAGAATTTTCGTTCTTTCCATTTTTTCCACGAATAAAAACGAACGATGTGGAAATTCGGGTCGTTGAATTGTTATTCTGCTTCTCCATTGCATTCTCTTGTAGTCACATAAACAAAAATCATAAAATCCAATTCAAATATGATAATTCTCGCGAGAAAATGGGCGGGAAACAACAGTCACGCGAGAATTCGATTATTATTTCTATTCCTTTTTGCCTTGCCAGCTTTTTCTCTTTTTTATTATTTTTTTCTGAAGATTTCCACACTGAGTTTCAATAAATGAAAACTCGAGATTTATCTCTATTCTTTTTGGCCTTGCCAGCTTTTTCTCTTTTTTTTAAATTTTTTCGGAAGATTTTCGCACTGAGTTTCAATAAATGAAAAAGTTGAAAATTATTTCGAAAAATTGCAGATGCTCGGTGCGAGCAGCAGCGAGGAAGATGATGACGATTTTGGAAATGAAGAACCGGAGGTTTTTATTCTTTTTCCTTAAGCACTGACTTAGATTTACATCTTTTTTTCGCAATAAGAGGGAGCTTTTTTGACCATAGTCGTCCAAATATAGGAAAAGTACGTTCCAAAAGGACATTTTTGGTTTGAAATTCATTTTCCGTGGCTCAAATATCGCCCGTCATTTCCATTTCGCGAAATTTATTGCTACAGGGCCTCTCCTCAAGTGCTTCTCATTTCGGGGCGATGCTGAAATGATTCAAACCAAAAAAAAACATGCAAGAAAAGGGATTTATTTTTCCGTTGCTTAGTGAGGATAAAATGCTTTTTTTTTTCTCTTCACTTTTTTGATGTCTTTTGTGATTTATAAGATCGGGAAAAAGAGAAGATTTTTTCAAGGCTTTTTCGTAAGAGAGAGAAGAGCACCTTCTGAAGAAAAAAATAGAACCTGAAAAATTTCACAATGATGAAAAAAACAATGAAAAAAATCTCTGGTTTCTATTGAAGTTTGAATAATAAATTCAAGGCTAACTGCACGTTTTAAATAATCTATTTCATTTTTTTCGAAGTCTTCAAAAAAATTTTTTTCAAAGATGTGTAAATAAAAAAATTTGAAATTAAAAACGAGTTGGAAAAATTGAAAAAAATCTCAAAAAGCCCTCATGACAGAAAAATTTTTTTGCTGTTTTTGTGTTTTTTTTCCGTTTTTTCGTGGAACCTTGTTGTTTAATTTCAGTCAAACACATCAGAAATTATGAAATATTTCTTGGAAAGTTCTGTGTCGATTTTGACTTTTCAGGTGAAAACTGAACTCAGTTCTGAGTTTAAAAAAAACTATTAACTCATTACTAAACAAGTCAGGTTCCACAGACCCATTTTTCTTGTTTCCTGGAGTTTTATGAAGGGTTAAAAACAGGTAGATGCTTCCAGGTGCTGCACACGACATCGAAGAAGCGGTCGCTGCTCAGCGGAGCCATCTCGCCGCGGAGCAGCTCTCCGGCCCCGTCGGACTCGGTCTCACAGACCAACTCCCTGAAAAGGAACAACTCCAGCAGCACCTACCGACGCAAAGACTCGGCCCAGAGTCAGACCCCAGCCAGATCGGTAATTTTCTTCCTAACAAAAAAGAAGATAATTGCACTAAAATTTGAAACTTCTGAAAATTCGCCCAAAACATTTTTAAAGGGTAGGTGGAGACTCCTCATCGTTCGGGGTTTCGCGTTAAAGTGATTCATGGTCTGTTGAACGAAAACTTTGAAAATCAGATTTCAAAAACTAGCAGCTTGCACAGTAACCATTCGGAAGATTGATCTTCTGAAAATATTTTAGGAATAAATCGTAAATTACAATGACTTTTTTCGTTCTAAAAAGACGTTTTACCGTGATATAATTCTTCCGCCACTTCTTGAAACCGACTGAACTATCTGCGTCTCTTTTCCATCGGTCATAGAAACATGAAAACATCCCGTAAACAAAATAAGGTTGCCAAGAGAAAAAAAGAGCGCAGAAATATCAGAAAGTTTCAAGTATTGACCGATGTAATATTTTCTTTTTATTATTCTTTTATACCCAAGCTTCACCGGTTGTTACCTTTAGAAAGCTGCAGCTTGAAAAAAAAAAACTTTTCCAAACTTTTTCCTTTAGATCGAAATCCCAGTCTCATCAGGAGTTGTGATAAATTTCCAAAAACCATTATTAGTAGCTTCAAAAATTTTTAATCTCATTATCATTCCTACAAAATTCCAGCCGATGAGAATGGCGGCGCCGTCCCCAATACAGGTAGGAATGCGAATGAACCACTAACACTGTTTTTTAACCTTGAGGATTGATCAACTTTCCCCACGAATGTTATGAATTTGACTGATTAGATGTGTTGTCCTTCATGCAACCCCAGATATGATATGAAGCCTCTGAGGTTATGTTTTCTTTTGGGAAATGGGTGCTTCTCAATACTTCACGGTTTTTGTAGGTCTGATTAGTTTCCTAAAGATATCGTTAGACCTTCTTTTTTTTTCAAAACCGCGACAGGTTGTTTTGAGAGTTTGTTTTAGACTGTTCAGAGACGATGTTGTCTAGCATGGCCTGAAAAAAAAAACTAATTTTTATTACTTCTCCGTCACACAGTTTGAGTGTGAGATGAAGTATTTCTTAATTTTCCATAGAATTTTTATTTCCTTGGAATCTTTATCAGAAGATTCATGCACGTCTAGACTCTCTGTCAAAAAATACTAGAACCGGCTATACGAAAAGATAATTGTAAAAGTCAGAGTTTTTACTCCCGATGCTGTATTTTCAAGTGTGTCCGATCCTGATTAATTGTACGAAATGTTATATTCCTCGCATCCTTTCTTCCCAAATTTGCATGTTACTAACAACTGGTTTTGTTAGAAAGGAAAAAAAAACCAATTTTTGGAATATCGCATTCTAACCCAGACAATAACTCATTCACGTTGGACAAACAAGAATGAAGAAAAAAAAGGGTCCGCAACACTTTTTTGCCCCCATGCGATAATAGCTTTTGCTCCAATTTATAGGGAACAAAAATAAGGAATTTCTTGTCCCTTCGCATGTCGTTGGTTGATGGTTGGCAACATGACTAACGAATGCGCATATCTACTTATATGTATAATTTCCATTTGCCATGACTTGTGACGTGTACGAAAGGGCGATTAGGCCAATATTTGAACTTCAACGGAGAAAAACGCGACGCGAATGCGACGCTCTGAAATATTCCACGAGACCTTGGCAAATGAATGATCCACTTTTTTTTCTGAGCAGCGCTCGAAGTTGAAAAAGAATGCTTGGAAGGCTTTGGAGACAGGTTACGGTAGTGCACAAGTCTGCTAAAGGTTGTGTTGTTTGAAAAGAAGCAAAGACAACGTATTGAATTTTGACCGCTAATCCCTTTTTATGGTGATCGTCTATGTCTTACGTTTCACTGACCTCCAGGAAAACTATGGAAGCCTTAAACTGCGGACTTTTGTGACACCCTAACCTTCCATCAATGGAAAAGCTCGAAAAGAGACATTTGAAACATTTTCAGGCGCGGACAGTGTCTACAGTATCCCGGCCGGTCCTTCAATCGTCGCAGGATATCAGTGGCGATGAGGATTATGACCAGGAAGCCACGACGCAAGCCGAACACGACGAAGAGCCCAGTTTAAGCAAGGAGGAACAGGAGCGGATACGGTAAGAAGCAGTGGAGACTGTGGACGATGAAATATTTAGGAGGGGGATATCTACTTTGGAAAGATACGATCTATATAGCTTTAATATTTTTAGCGTCTTCGAACGGAAAATCTTTACAACTTGAGCCTTTAGAAACATTGTAAAACTCTGTTTGCTTTGCTGATTGGAAATGAAAATCGCTGAAAAACTGGATCCAAACCGGTGCTCGCGTCTCTCATACAGAAAATTTCAATAAAACTCATTTTTGCAGATTTTCCTTGATTCAACAAGCATCAGTTTCAGCTATTATTTTCGGCTTATTTTGAGCTTTTTTTTGTCATATTTTTGATAATTGATTCATCATCAAACAGATTTTCTCTGTCACCTGGAAAAGAAATTTGAATGTTCACTCTGGACATATTTTTCTTTTTGAGAATGCATTTAGTATCGTTTCCCTTATTTGATTTCAATACCCAACTTTAATTTATAAATATGAAGTTCGTTCATTTTTTCCTTAAATTCCGTTACAGAGCCGAAAAAGAAGAAGAAGAGCACAAGAGGAACCTGCAGATGTACGTTTTCGCGGCGCGCTGTATCGCCTACCCTTTCAACGGCCAACAAACCGGCGACATGGCGCGACGGCAGCTGAAAGTTAACAAGCATGAGCTGGCACGGATTCGAGACAGGTGGAAAACGTCCGTTTTTTCGAGAAAACAGCAAGTTTTTCAGATTTCATTCGTTCCTCAAAGGGGAGACGAACATTGCGGCGGATGAGGCGTTGACCAAAGCGATTCAGAGTTACTACGAAGTTTTCCTCAAATCGGAGAGGGTCCAGAAAGTCGTCCATGCCGGCGGCTTCTCGCAGCATGACTTTCGAGAGGTTTTGAAAGGGAGAATAAAGACATAAAGACATCCAAGGCTTGAAAATTACACAAAAATGCGTATCTACACTAAGAAACATTATTTTACTTTTTGTAACGGATTCCTCGAAAATATGTAGTCCGGAATACTCCTTGATGTACTAGAAGAAGGTCCTGAAAGGATAGAACTGAAGAACTTACTATTTTTCGAGAAAGGTCACCTCGAAGTCAAAGAAACCATGAAAGTCTGTCAAATTGGATTTTCTCAAACTTTGAGCTTTTGTTTTTTGAGAAATAGATAGTTTCGAAGTTTGAGACTTCAAGGATTTTCAGCTTGTGAATCAAAGAGTGTTTTGAAGGGTTATCAGAAACTTTCTAGCTATTTATAAAATTAGCTTTCTTGTAAGTTAGCTAGGTTAAAATTAAGTACTTTTTAGGTTTTCCGGTTAAACATCGAGAAACGGATACGGTCGCTACCCGATATCGAAGGACTTTCAAAAGACACGGTATTGAATTCGTGGCTGACGAAGTTCGACGCGATCATCAAGGGTGACGAAGATGCGCAGGCCAGAAACGCTAGGTTTACTTTGAGAGGATACTTTTTTTGAAGGCTATCAATCAATAATTCAATCATTGTTTGGAGTGAATATATGAATCGAAAGAGGGACTCTACATTTCCATCAAATTTCTTCAGAATCGGTTCATTGTTGTGTTTTTATAGAAACCATAAAACACAAAAACCAAAAAAAAAACACCATCCTATCATCGCAAAAAGGGGGCGGGGCTTGAGGGTCTTTAGTCATAAATGTGCATTGATCAATTTTTCTTACTAAGTTCTTCAAGATTTCTAGAATCTTTCCTAAAACTTAAGTTGGTAAAATTGGATGAAGTTTTACAGAGGCCGGGTCAGGAACGCTCAAAATCAGCCGAATGTCGATTCGGTTCTGGGAAAAGAGCAGTTATATGACATGTTCCAACAAGTTCTGGGTATCAAGAAATTCGAGCATCAGATTATCTTCAACGCACTTCAGGTGAGAGAAGAGAAGAAAATTTAAAACGAGATTAGTAAATAAATCAAATTGTTTATACCTGCGCTTTGAATGAAGCGACCGTTTTTTTTTTCTTGGAGTACTCGTGAAAGGAAATTTACAGTACTTTTAGCCATAGAGCTTGTTTTGTGAATTCATAGATTATTTTTAAGCTGAAAATTATGTAAAAACCTTTTCCTGCTGTTCTTTTATACTCTCGAAAAGCTGAAATTTGGAGTTCTGAAAAATATTCACAAGACGTATCGCTTTTTCTTTCTCAAAAATAAAACTTGATTGAGTGACTGAAGTAAGTGGAATTCGATCAAGAATGAGTAAGCGTTTTCAGCTGGATAACCCCGATGAACAAGCGGCGGCGATTCGAAGAGAGTTCGCGACACGGGAAGAAGCTCTGAAAGACATTGGCAAGGTAAAAAAATATCAATAAAAAAATTCAGATTAACGGAGTTTATTAAAAAAATAAGCTTGAAAGTGAAGAAAAAAATGATAGGTCGATAAAACTGAAAAACAAAAATTTAGTTTTTCCTCGATTTTTGAATTTTTTTCTTTTTTTAAGTTTGAATTTCAGGGTGCATTTTTTTCGGTTCCGGGCGTCGTTGATCAACGTTTTTTTAATATCTTATATTTAAAAAAAGTTCCGCGTCACGGGAACAAAAAATCAAAGATATGGTTCAATATTTATTTTTAATCGAGAAACGAACCTGAAAATCTGAAAAAATTGAACTGGATCGTTTGAGAAAGATTGAATATTTCTCGATTTTTAATTTATTCGAAAAAGTTTCCGTTCAAAGGCTTTTCCCTCGTCTCTTTAGACTTTGATGAACGAGATTTTTCGAAATGTTCTCTATTGAAAAAAAAGTTTTAAGATGCGCCGATTGATGCCGAAATTCGTTGTAAAAGACATGGAGACGTTGTACATGGACGAGGTCCGAATGTCGATAAATCAGTTGATTTCCAACCTGGAAACTGTGCCGGTGACGCCTCGGGGGCAGGCTGTTGGGAAACGAAAGGACAAGTCTCGGTATTTTTTAGAGCTTTTTCTTTCCATTTCATCTTAGATTATGATGGTTATTTGGAAGGTTGTATTGTTCTTTTTTAGAAAAGTTTTCACTAGATTTTCAATATTTTTTGAAGTTTTCAACTTTTCAAAGATTGAAGTGGTTTAGTTAACCTGGGAATGTGAGACCATTGATCTTTTTCAAGAAAAGAAATAATTTTGAAATGACCCTTTTTTTAAATATTTATAATCTCTTCTCATCTTTTTTGGATTGACAGCGTTCCGAAAAAATATGGAGCTTAAGGAATTTTTTAGAACTTTAGAACTGCAAAGAAGCTTAAAAAGTCTGAAACGACGGATTAGACTTGTCAAAATTTGAACAAAAAAAGGGCTCATAAGGGCAGTCTCAATTCAAAAAATGGAACTTATTCATTTCTTTTTTTGGCAAGGGAACTCAATTTTGAAAAAAAAAAATGGCCGATTGAACGTTTCAACTCATACACGGTAATATATGTCTAACTCAATTTTCGATTTATCATACTTTCAAAGCTTTTTTTGATCGAAAATCCTTGAAAATGATATTTTTCATTTGTAAAAACCTTCCAAATAATCATTACAGATCATCTAAAATCCTACTTTTTCCTTCTATTCTTTCTTCTAACTTGAAAAAGCCCATTGATTCGATTTACAGAAATCAAACCAAGACCAAACGGTACGTAGAACTCTTCTGTATTTTTCTCACGCACTGACCTGTCCGTTTTCTTCTTTTATTGGTTTTTATTGGGAAGTACATGGGCAAATTAGTCAGATGTGTCCTAACAAGTGACTTGTCTTGGATTGAAACACGAAAACCGACTAAACAAAGCAACTAATCCTGATTGTTGCCTGGCCTGGGAAGCTTCATGGGATTTGAACCACGCAGAAGAAATGGCTCAATTTTCATGCTCCGTTTTTTTTTTCTTCTTTCTGTCCTTACTCTTTTCCTGTTATGTCTTGTCCGGTCATGTCTTTTGAAATCCTGTTGGAATCACTCACACTTTTTTTTTACTTTTTTTCAATTGTCCTCTGTCTGACAAGCAATGAAAATTGCATGGGGATGGGTGTTTGGAAGTCAAAACGCCAAAAAGTTAATCAAGTGCGCTCCATGAACAAATGCTTCAAATACGATTTTCAAGAAATTTGAAATTTTCCGAAACTTCTGAAGAATTATCAACCAAATGTGGTTTAAAGGCAAACTTTATTCATGGAATGCATTTGAATTTAGAATTTTTTTTTGTCAGCAAGTTTCGTAAATTTAATATCTGTGTATACATCAAACTGACAAATGCTACGAATGAAGAAAAAAGAGTTTCATCGCTTTTTTTTAATGAATGAATTCACCTGGATCCGCACTCATGAACGTTCATTTTGGAAAAAAAACGCGATTTGAAACCTCACACTGGAGTTAATTTTCGCGGCGGAATCGCGAAAAACAAGCACTAAAAATCGTCACTGGAGCACGACTGCACACAGCAACCATGTTGAAAATCATGCAAATTTTTTATAAGTTTTTTTTTAGATCGCGAAGTATTGAAGACCTCTCGCTGTTCAACAGGTTTGTTCTGTCGATGAGAAAAAAGCTTTGAATGATGAAAAAATGTTTAAAGCATGATTCGCTTCAAATTTAAATAATTTTCCGCTTTTTAACATCAAAAACTGTATGCTCGCAGAATGCGCCAATAGCTCGTTCCTGACGCTTTCTTGTTCTGCTGACGCATTTTCTGACATCGCTTATGATTTTTTTTTTCAATTTTTTCATCTTTTGAAATCGAAAGAATTCGCGCTTCCTCGTCTTCTCATATCTAATTCTATTGTTTTGTTGGTTCTTTGGCATTCTTGGCTGAAACATTTTAACTGTTATGAGCGGGTTGATTGCTTGGGTGAGTTGCTGCGTTGCTTTTCTGTGATTTTTTGTCAACGACGGGTTGGATAAATTGGAATTTTCAGTTTGAAACGAAGGACGAGCTCGAGTAGTTTGAACAAGGGAGAAAGTGACGACGGCGAAGTTACACTTACGAAAAGCGATGTTGTTTTGGCTCTTAATATGGAGGTGCTTTTTTTTTTTGGAAATTGACAGTTAATTAATTTTCTTGTCTGGGTACTTTATTTCAGTTTGATAAAAAAAAAAGAAAAGATAATTTTATATGAAGATCATCACAATTTAATCATTTTTCTGACAGCTTTTATGTGGCTCGATATCTTTATTTAATTTTTTTTGTGCTGAAAAATCTGAGTGTTTTTCTTTGTTTTGACAAAAAACTAGGAACTTTAGGTCGTTGTCATGGAAGTTCAAGGTTTGAAGTCCGTCCAACCTAACCGAATAGTCTACTGTACAATGGAGGTCGATGGCCACAAGCTCCAGACTGACCATGCCGAAGCCTCAAAACCAAAGTACATTCCGAAAAAAAAAACACCATCCAATTCAAACTTCAGATGGGACACTCAGGGAGATTTCTCAACGAAAAACCCATTGCCTGTTGTTAAAGTGAAGTTATATTCTGAAGTCAAAAGCATCGTCTCTTTTGAAGACAAGGAACTTGGAAAGGTTCCTTATCTCTTTTGAAATTCCGAATAAGAATTATTTTTAGGTTGTAATACAACCGACGCCGAACTGCACTCGGAATCCAGAATGGTACACGATGACTCTGCCGAAAAATAGTCAAGACCCAAATTTGAAAATTCGGATCGCGATCAGAGTGGAGAAACCGCCGAATTTGAAGTATTGCGGGTATTGCTACTGCTTGGGAAGAAGTGCGTGGAAGAAATGGAAGAAGCGGTTTTTTTGCTTGGTTCAGGTGAGAAATTTCTTTTTCACGGAGAAACTGAAATAAATAGATCATTTTTGAAAAATAGAACTCATGAGTTTAGAATCAGAGCATTTTTTTGAAAGTTTTTTTGAAAGTTCTTAAACAAAAAAATTTCACAAGAGATTAAACCATTTTAAAACTGCCTAAGTCAACAAACTGATAACAAAAAAATAAAAAAACCTCATCAGCCTAAATTTTTCTTGCTGAAACAGTGAAACCAGAATTTTTTTGTTCCTTGGTTAAAAAAATTTTTAAAATTGTAATTTGTCGAAAATGACATTGACTAAACACAGAAATTCAGGTTTCCCAGTACGCCTTCGCCGTGTGCAGCTTCCGACAAAAGAAGTGCGATCCGACAGAATTCATCCAACTCGACGGCTTCACCATCGATTATATGCCCGACCCAGACCAAGAACTCGCCGCACAAGGGGGGAAGCACTTCTTCACGGCGATCAAGGAGGGAGACGAGCTGAAGTTCGCGACGGACGACGAGAACGAGCGGCATTTGTGGGTGCAAGCCCTGTACCGCGCCACGGGCCAGGCCTACAAGCCGGTGCCGCCCAAACAGTCGACCGTGGCGCCGAAAGCTCAGGGCTTCCAGGACAAGGCCAGCAAACACGGCATGGACGCCCTCATACAGGTGAGCCACGGCTAAGTTTTCTTCTCACTCGTATTGCCGAGTTTGAGATTTTAGAGCTGCTGTCAACTTTCTCTACAAAGAAAAAAAAAACTTATGTAGGTTCTAGAAAGTTCTTGACGGTTTTTGTATGAATCAAAAGCATAGGCTTTTACTATCATTTTCATTGAATCGGCTAAAAAATGCGTGAAAGGTCGTATTTTTTTTTTAGAATTCTTTGAGACTGTCATGAAAACTTTCGAAGAATTAAGAGACTTCACTTTAAGAGCGTTCGCTTGATATTTTTTCTGATTTTAGAAAATTTTGTGAGATTTTGAAGCGATCTAGATACTTTTTGAGCTCTCGGAATTTTTCTTATAGCTTTCAAGTGTTTTTGTGTGGTTTCAATCCTTGGGATAGCTTCGATGAAATTTTTCACAAAAATCAGTGATTGTTGAAAGTTTCTATAAGAATATTGTTTCATTAGCTTTTTTTTTACTTTTCTCTAAAATGGACTACAATTTTTTGAGTCATCCTGCATCCACCAAATTAGAGCTATTTTTTTTTTACCACAAAATTCTTTTCCAGGCTGACATCATTAACTTCAACCACGACCACCTCTTCGCGGATATTCAGAAGTCGACGCTGCAATACCGATTAGAAGAGCCGATTTGTTCCTTGGTAATCCTTTGAAATAGTTTCCGATGAAATTCGAATTTTCAGGGCTGGTTCTCGCCGGGACAAGCGTTCGTTCTGGAAGAATACTGTGCGAGGTACATGGTCCGAGGGTGTCATCGACACGTGACGCTGCTCTGCGCCCTGCTGGACAAGGCCGACGAAGGGCTTCTCATCGACCCGGCCTTGATCCACTACTCGTTCGCCTTCTGCGCGTCCCACGTCCATGGCAACCGAACTCTTCCTGACCGTCAGGGGTTTCCCGATCAACTCCAGCTTCTTCTTGAAGAAAAGATTGGTTTCAGACCGGAAGGCGTCGGGACTGTGTCGTTGGAGGAGAAGGAGAAGTTCCAGGAGATCAAAGAACGACTCAGGGTTCTTCTTGAGAAGCAGATCACTAACTTTCGGTAGGTATTTAATGGAAAAGAATGAATTTTTTTGCATACGTATTTCTTCTAAAGTTTTATTCCGATATCAATTAATAGGTACTTCATAACTTTACGTTTTCCTCTTAATCTATTTTAACTTCTATTTTTCTCTACTCGTCTTTGTATGGAAAAATGCGACCTCTTTCTTTTGTTTCCTCCGAGGTGCTTGTTAGTCATGCCGAAAAATTAATAAAAGAAAAGAGAGGTTTGCTGTTTTCAAGCTGTAGCGAGAAAAGTATATCCAAAATAGACAAATGAGCAGACCATTTATAGAGGCCGTCAACCTTTTTTTGCCACTCCCACACTTAAATTATAGTCATTATCAACTCCTGCGTTTAAAATTTGTTTTCATCGTTGCCAACAATACCTCCTTTGAAATCTTTTCACATGCTCTTTTGGTAAGTTTTTGTGAAATAACCCCTCCTCCTGGGCTATTTGAGTTCTTAACTTGTCCATGTTTGTTTGTTTCTAGGTACTGCTTCCCGTTTGGACGACCTGAAGGCGCGTTGAAAGGCACGTTATCTCTACTGGAACGGGTTCTGATGAAAGATGTCGTGTCGCCGGTACCGCCAGAAGAAGTTCGAGCCGTCATCCGGAAATGTCTCGAAGACGCCGCCTTGGTCAACTACACGCGGATATGCAATGAAGCCAAGATTGAACGTAAGTCTTTGAAAAAACAAACTAGAAAAATTAGCGACAAATCATCTTTCAAGCTATATAGGGGTTTTGAATGAGATCTTTATTTTTCGACCTTTCTTTGGGGTTCTATACCATTATTTTCTGATGGTCTGCTCGCACGTGAAATGGCTCAAAGTGTCTCTCTTCGGTGGGAATTGGATTTACAAGGCACTTGGTCGCATTCTTGGTTAGACCCCTAAGCCGTTTTAGGTGGAAAATGCTCCAAAACGACTGCTTCACAGCCTTTATGAGCCGATCCATTCCATTTTTGGGCATAAAATTGTTTCAATATATGAAAGAACTAAAAGGAATTTTTTTGGTTTTTAGGAAACATTATTTAATTTTTCTTTCAAATAAATAATTGAAAAAAAATGTTCATTGAGCGTTTTTCCAGAACGTATGGGCATAGATGTGAGTCCACAGCAGAGGATAGAAGATATGATTCGAGTGACCGAATTTTGCATTGATTTGCTCAAGGAAAATGAAGAACACCATGGCGAGGTTGGTTCTTTTGTCCTCAATTTCCTAATTTTCCTTCCAAAATAATTTCAAATAAATATTTTTAGCAACTCCGCGGCGTAAGTTTTCTATCTCTATTCTATACATATAGCGTTTGTTTTTCCCAAATGAGTGCTTTTTTTTCTGGTCGCTTTTTTTTTGTAATTTTGAGATTTTGAAATTGGGACACATAGCCGTTGATTACCCTTTTATGTTGTTCACCTCATTGCAATATTGAAATTTTAGGAAAAAAGTTCAAAAATGCACCATTTTACACGCCTTTTTGTTTTTATCATAATTTTATTGCTTTTCTTGCATTTTCAATAGGGGAATTGTTTTTTTTAGGGATTTAGAGGATTTTCACACGCTTTTTGTTTTTATGATATTCCTAAGAGCTTTTTTTGCTGTTTTGAGAAAGTTTGAGTTTTTCTCAACGAAAATGTTATAGCTTTTTGGAAGATGGTGTGCAGATGAAAAATTCCGGACTTGCCGAAAGCGAGAGAGTATAAGAAAAACGGAGAGTTTAGAAGTTTATCCATGTCTACTGCCTTTCTTCTTTTCATTACTTTGAGCTTTCGATAATTCTAGAAATTTTCTCTGTCCTGCATCTTTTGAGTAGGTGTGCAGTGAATAAAACATTCCGAATGTTTTCGGCCGCGTCGCGTGTTGCGTCGCGGTCCTAATCATTTCGGAATGACCGTTTTTGTTGTTTGTACGTTGGGGAGAGGACGAAAATGGTTTCCACCAAAAACGTCCATTTTTCAGGCTTTTGCTTGGTTTTCCGACCTTTTATCGGATCATTCGGAGATTTTCTGGTCTTTGTACTCTGTGGATTTGGACTCGGCGATGGAAGTTCAGCCATCGGACAGCTGGGACTCTTTTCCTCTGTTCCAAATGCTCAACGACTTTTTGTTATCTGAACGTTTGAGTCTCTCGGTTTCTCCAAAAAGGCAAAACCTTTCAGCATCTCTGAAGGGCGGAATCTTTCACAATAAGCTGGTCCAGCAGTTCCAGCCTCTTGTTGTACGATATATTGACCTTATGGAACACTCTATCGCCCAATCGATCGATAAAGGTTTCCAGAAGGAGAAGTGGGAGGCTAGGAAGTTTGAAAAATCAAGATATGGATAAATAGTTTCTGAGTGTTAAGAGAAGGATGCGCGACTTCGGAGGACATTTATTGGAAGTTGGATGCCTTGCTGGCGTTTGTGGTCGATTTGAATTGGCCTGAGGAAGAGTTCCGCCGATATCTCCAAGTTCGGATGAAAAGTTTGACGTCGGAGATGATTTCCAAGGTGTCCAACAGGTAGGAAAAATTCGAGATTCTCCAAATATTAGTTGTCTTCTTCACTCTCTGTCGGCTTTTTTGAATCTTATGAAATAACTTTGAACAGTGCATTATGATCCTACAAGTACTTCGAGTAACTTTTGAAAAAAATCTAACTTTTCTCTACTTTTTCACAACACAAGTTTATTTCATAGAACACCGAAAAATAAAAATAAAATTTTATAGCACGTACCAACAATTCGACAACTGGATGCAAAGGGCCAAAAAGTCGACGGATTGGATGCTGCCGTCTGAAGTTTGCGTGATGATCAACGTGATGTTCAGCTCGAAAACCAGAGCGACAAGGGTAGCCGTCGATGCTGGAGAGGTACGAAAAATGTCTCAAAAAAGAAAAAACATTTTCCTGCAGTACAAGTACCAATCAAAACTCGATGAAACGCTCGACACTATGCTGAAGGATATGGAAACGTGTATACAGGTTTAATTGTCCTGAAAATAAAGTGGAGAACATGGAAAGATTCCAGGAGAAAATGTTGGGTGTTTTGGAAAGCGTTTTGACCCGATTGGCGCGGTACGACGAGGGGAATCCGCTTGGCGCCATTTTAAATATTACGGTAGGTTGCCTATGATTATTAGTCTAATATGGATGGGACGAAATGAGTCCATAATAGCGAAGTTTTCAATATGAATAATATTTTTGTATAACGATATATTCCAGCCCAAGCCTTCTTCGATCTTCAACAAGATGAAGACGATGGTCGGCGATTCATCGGCGCAAACTGCCGCAGCAGCGGTAAAAAGAAAGAAATGATTTGCGGAAACGCAAATAAATGTTTCAGAGACAGCCCCTCACGGCTCAACAATCCACTGGACACATCGGCAACTCGTACGTGATGTTCATGCGTGGCTGCTCCGAGCTGTTGCGGCAGGTCGTCACCGACGAGATCTGGGTCAACTGCTTGTTCGAGGTACCGGCTGAAGACAGGATAAACATGAAGCTTGATTTTGTTCAGCATTGGTACGACAGTCAGATGAAGTCGATCAACGAGTGGCTCATCGAACGTCTTCAGCAATCCCTGAGTCCGACTCAGTTCGTCTCCCTTTCCCATATTGTCAAGGTAGGAATGGTAAAACTTTTCAAGAAGCCCAAAAAATTCATATTTTATTTGCTAAGGAAACTTCTAGAGTCTGAAGTAATTATAAGAAAATTTTGATTATTTTTGTAGTCATTTTGACTATAAATTTGAACTTTTCGTTTCAGTGTACGCTTTAGGGCTTCAAAGCTGTAGTGGCCACTATAGTAATCAAATTAGTGGACACTTTGAATGACGAAAATTTAGTGGTCTCTTTAAGAGTCTTAGTGGCACTACTAGAACATTAAAAACTACTGTAGTGGCCACTAAGAAACAAAATAATGGTTTCTATAGAGGTTGTTTTAGTGGCCATTCTAGTGTTTTCTTCTAGAAGTTCTTGAGGAACCTCTTACATGGCCACTAAAGTTTTCACCAGAACTAGCTAGAAGGAATCAGGATATGTTGGATTTTAGCCAAACTATCAGCAAAAGTGAACAACTTGATTCAGTTTCAGACGTTACTGTTTGTTCTTTTCAAATTGACTGCTTTATTTTTGAAAAGTAGCTTTCAATTATTTTTTCATCGAGCTCAATTATGCTCTTTTTTCTAGAAAGTCTACTCCGACTTTGAACTGCAAGGAATCGACGACGAACGACTCAACAGCAAGACCTACCAGTCGATCAATCGGCGGCTGCAGTTGGAGGAGACCAACTCACAGTTACACGATCATGGTACATTATATTTTCTTTTTCGATTTTTCGAAACTGAACGGAATATTCTTTTTCCTAAACTCACAAAGGTCTTTCTTTCAGGAGCATCGAACGGTTCGGCCTCCGTTTTGCCGACTTCGCTGAGCAACGCCACGGCGGCTGTCTCCAACATGGGAAGCCTGATGGAAGGCGCCGGATCCAAGATGTTCTCCTTGTTCAAATGACTGCTCTATATTTTCGCATCGTAGTTGTTTTTCATAGTTGTTTCGCATAGATTAGGTGAGAAAAGGTATGAATGACGTCAGCCACGAGGATTTATCACAAGTGACGTCAACAGGAAAATCAATCGAAGTACTTGATTCGGATGTGTTCTACTAACAAACCAGGTCAAGCATGTAGATTTTTCAAGAAAATTATGAATTAGAATTGATTGACGTCACTTTCTGATAATTTATGACGTCATTGTAAAGCTAGCAACGGAGAGGTCAGATAAAATAAAAAATGACGTCATTAAACTTTCGAAACGTTTTGAACAGTCTGAGAAGTTTCCCAGATCTTTAGCTGATTGATTATTCCTTTTCTTTTCCGAAATTCGTTTTCCTGATGTAATCAGCTTTCTATTTTTCAAGTTCATAGCCGAGTCACCAACTTTTATGTGACTCGGCTGAAATTATTTCTTTTTTACTTCCCCACGCTTTATATGATCTACGTGTCTTACGCTCTTTGCAGCGAAAATTTTTATTAATTTTAATTATTTTTTCACTTCAAATTCGTTTATTTTTTCTAGATATTTGTATTAGGGTGCAATCAGTGAGCAAATAACTCGTCTTTCGCATTTCTTCCATGATTTTTAGCCTATTATTCGAATACGCTTAATGTCTTCCACGATCGTTGTCGCTTGCCCGGTATTTTTTTTTTTTTGATTTGTTCCTACCAACTTCAATACGATATGCTTTACGGTTCTCTACTGCGTTGACGCAAAAAAATATTGCCATTTAAATTATGATTTCTTTTTTTTTTTTTTTTGAACAAATTTCCTACCGCAATCCATTCACTTATTCGCCATAGGTCGCCTAGGAACGGTTTGAATTCCGTTTTTAGGAGGATTTTCTTGCTTTTCTCACATTTTTTCTTCCAAAAATTGTATTGTTACAGATGTGTATATTGAGAATCGTTGCAAAACAGAAAAGTTGAAATATAAAAATATATTTATGATTTTTTTCTTCCCCTTTTTTTCTGGTTGAAAAAAAGGTTCTAGAGCCTATTGAGAAGAACATGTAAAAAAATTGAGTCTGAAAATAGAAATTGTCCAAGAAAAGTAAAGAATTGAATCATTTTTTTAGCTTATATTTCTCATTATCGATATTTGAAAGTTCTTTCTAGATATTTTTTTGAAAAAAAGTAAAGATACAACTTACTCAATATGGCTCTCGAAGGGGAGAATCGTTTAAGCACACTTTCATTTTTAGATTATTCTGTAACAGCGGACTTAATGACAAAAAAACCCTTGTGTTATTGAGAAAAAATTTCAACTTCTCAAAAATTTGGAGTAAGGTCTTATCTTATTTATTTTATATGAAATCAATTCTCCTCAACACGGACATAAATGACTACCGAGCACAAGTTTTATGGTTTTTTTCCCTGGTGATAACTGAAAAGACCAGTGGAGAAAAGGTTTGAAACACGACATGAACTACCAGGCGATTGTCTGCTCTTTTATTCTTGCCATTGGAGCCGTCCTCATTTGCATTTCCACCAGAACGTTGGTTTTTCCACCTTTTTTCCTGTTTAATTACGATTCCGTAGTTTAGTTCGAGGTAAAAAAGGTTTGCAGCAAAAAAAAAAACTATCGGAAAAGCAAGTGTGGCGGGTATAATATTCTGCATAGACATGAATGATGAATTAGCTTGCAAGCCTGGGAATAAATAAGTAAAAAGGGAGACCTTCAAGTTTCCTTATAACTATGCCTTGAGAAAGGGGACCGGAAATCTCCTTTTGATTCTTGAGCGATAGGATATTGGGAGGTAAAATCGAAGTGAAACTGAAACTTTTTCAAAATACGGAAAAATTTTTGCAAGCGTCATAACTCATAAGTTGCCGAGAAAATTCAAGAAAGAATAGTTTTAAAAAAATGGATTTTTTACGGATTTTTTCGGGAAAAAGGGATTTTCCCCTTTTCTCTCCTAATGAGATAGTTCTGAAAAGCTATTTTCGAAGGAGAGAGTTCGATAAAAAAAAGTTTTTGAGTTTTTTTGGAAATTTTATTGTCTTTTTTTCTTGATATCATTTCACGCAGTTTTTTTAGTTTTTCAAAAAAACAAGATTTTTCTAGCTAGAAAAAAAGAGAATAATCAAAAATTACATTTATCCAATTAGTGACTTAAAAAAAGATAAGACTATTTAATCGAGAAATTTTTATTCTCTACTTTACCTATTTTTTGTTGTTAAAATGTTTTATTTTTGATATTCTCAAGTGTTTGCTGCCTCGTTACTCATTATGCTGGTTCCCATCTAACTTTACAGAGCAGACGAAGACTCGGGTCTAACGAACAATGTCCACACGGGAGTCTTGGTCACTGGCATCGTTCTGACTGTTATTGGCGGATGTGGATATCTTTTCACCATTTATGAAGTTGTTAGTTAGTTTATCGAATGTTGAAGAAGGGTTATTTGTCAAGAAAAGGTTATTTTTTTCATCTGAGAAACCTAAATTTTGAAAAAAAAACTTGATCCGATTTCCAGATTATGAGGGCTCATCGAAAGTTCAAAGAGCAGAAGCTGAGGAAACTCGAGGAACAGGTTTTTTTTTTCTCATATATCTTTCTTTAGACTTGCCTATGGAATGGCTCGAAGCGGTGCGGTCGCGTCGCGGATATAAACGAAATGACATCGAAAATTTAGCTATAGTCCAATGCTACCAACAGATAAAAGCGCAAATCGTTTTTTGTCGGACGCGTTTTGAAGAAATCGGCTGGCCATTGAGCCATTCCCCGAGTGCTTTCCGTCCAACAGGGTTAAACGGAGATTTTTGGAGGAAAATTTCAATCAAAAAGGAAAGGATGAACTTTTTTCATCGGAAGGAAGTTGTTAATGTATCTAATATTTGGAAGAGCAAAAAAGAACATTCTAGAGCTATTTTTCGAGTTCCCGAAAAGGTGTCAAAAGTCTCTTTTTTTTCACCTCCTTTTTCTCTCCTTAAAAGTCCTTTTCAAAAAAAAAAGGTCAAGAAAAAAGGCCTGTGAGGTCCTTTAGAGGCCTTTTTCCAAAGGTTCTTACTAGCTCCTTCTGAACTTTGCCCGTCAGTAAGACTCAAAAAGACGTTTTCCTTTCCTGAAATGAATGGCTCGATTTGAGGTTGTTCGACGGAGGACGGCGACAATGTTGGCCGAGGCGGCGGCGAAAAAAGAGCGAACTAAATCACAAGTACAATTTGTCTGACGCGATTTGAATTTATACGATGTGCAATAAAAAGCTACGACTGTCTCATTCGTTTGCGTGGGAATGTGAAAACCGTCCGGAACGTCGATAAGATATTGAGCCAGCGTCCCGATCGATTTGTTTTTTTCTTCCTTATCTTTCCACTGCCCCTATCGAATTATGCAGCGAGAATTGCGACTTCAGCCCCTTGGAAGGAGCGAACTCTATTCGAGAAGGACGGCCGAAATTCGGAAACGGTTAGTGGTTGATTTTAAATATTGTTACTTTAATTTATATGTCGTTTTTCCCTCGTTTCATTGTTTCTTCGTCAACAAAAAAGCTTATAGGGGAAAATTGCAAAAAAATGAGTCATGTTTTTAGGCAATTTTTTTCAGTCCTTTCAAGTTTTTCGAAAAAAAGATTGATTAGTTTTGGTTTTTTCGTTGACCTAATCAAACCATCTGTATAAAAAGTGCAAAAAACAAATAAAAATTCTAGAAGTTTTCAGAACAACAGAGAAAAACTGCGACCGATGTAAAGTCCCGTTCGAGCAAAATGAGTCCTTCCTTGCGGTCGATTCAACGTCCTGGCATCTTCGTTGTTTTCTGTGAGTAAAAATTTTTTTTTCGGTGGCAATTTAATAATGTATCCGTTTTTTTGCAGAAATATAGGAGTAAGTTGACACAGAGTGACCTGTAATAATAATGAAAAAAACATTTTTCTGCCATGGAGAATATTACAGTATAGTCAATGTTTCCCGACTTGAAAAGGGGAGGAAGGCGGGGCAAGGGGCGGGACGCGTAGCGTGTGCGCACGCGGTTCTTGGCGCCAGTTCAATTCAATCGCCGCCGACTATGTAAAAAGCTCGGCGACCGCTCTTTCTCTGTATTTTTCTACTAATTTTTTTGATGCACAAATTAACATAATCAATAAATAATTAAAAAAAGAAGTGAAAAAGAGCGATAAATGAGCTCTCTGAATGCTCGCTGGCCGTTGAATTGAACTCGTGCCAAGAACCGCGAACGCACACGCTACGCGCCCCGCCCTTTGCCCCGCCTCCCTCGCCTTTCAAGTCGGGAAACATTGACTATACCTATCATTGAAACTGACCTCGTTACTTTCCAAAAAAAAAATTATTTTAAAGATGCGCCCAGTGTTTCGAGCCCATCAGCGACGCCACCTACTATAATGTCGATGGGAGGATGTATTGCGAGCACGACTTCAAAGTTCTGTACGCGCCGATTTGCGCGAAATGCGGTAAGTTCACACTTCTGCTCAAATCCTTGATCTTTTTTTCTTTTTTTCTTTCATCCAGTCCTTTTTCACCTTTCTAAAGACTTTCTCAATCTTTTGAAATTCCCTGTCTAGTTTAGTTCTAAAATGAAAAGTGAAATATTTTTTCAAATGTCGGAAACATTTTTGCTGCCGCTAAATGTTGTTTGTTTTGCTAACTTGGCGTTTAAAGTCGGCATGAAATAATTCTGAAAAAAAAAACCGCCGAATTATCAAATTTTACAATTCTGACCATGTCATGATTCATTTTTCCTAGGTGAATTCGTAATTGGCCACGTGATCAAATCGATCAACTGCTCCTATCATCCGGACTGTTTCAAGTGCTCCGAATGTTCGAATAACCTGGACGAAGGCGTCTATATTTTCGATGCCAAGTTTAATTTATTCTTATTCATTTTTGAAATATTATGATTCAGATTATATTGCTCGGATTGCAATAAGTTTTTGGAGAGAAAGCCAACTTACATCTGTAAAAAATGTGAGTTTGCGGAAATTATTGTATGGCTAATTTATGGGTGGCCTGAGCCGTCGAAAAAAAACACGATAAAAAATAGTTTCTTGTTGGTGGAGAGTTTAGACAGGCCACGCCTCTTAGCTTCTCAAGCAAGCCATGAATCGACTAAGAATGATTGAATGAATAAGTTTCAGGTAAGCAATTGGTGGATGAGGACGAGTTTTTGCATTTCGAAGGCGAAATTTATCACGCCAGTCATTTCGACTGTTCTGATTGCAAGTCGGTTTTGTGATTAAAATTGAAATTTTAGTTTTTAATAAAATTCTTCTGATTATAGTTCCTCCTTTATCTATACCTTTTTAGCAAATAATCTTCAGAGAATTAGCAGAAAATAGGCGATAAAAAGTTTAAACCTCTCTTTATCAGTTTTCATTTGAAGTTAATATAGTTTAGCATTAATGGTTAAAAAAAGCAGCGATGAAAGAAGTAAAAATAAGAAATTAACGAAAATAAGCTCAACTCGTAAGCTCCTAGGATAACACTGAAGAAACTCGGACCTTTGCAACGCAAACCAGACGCATCATGGCCGTTTTCTTAGTTATTCCAAGGATCACTTTTTTTTTTGCCGCTAAAGTGGTCCCTAGAAATGCTCTGGAACGTCCGTGGTGCGTCTGGTTTGCGTTACCAATGTCCGAAATTGTTTCCCTGGCAAAACAACACATTTTCAATTGAATTTTGAACTCACCTTATTTCAATAATTAAAGCCGTGAGGCGCACAAGTTTTCTTAAAATACCTTCCGGCTAGTTTTTCGTTCTTTTCTATTTTGATTATTTCTCTTTCTTCCCTTATGTTTTACTCAGTTTTCTATCTAAAAACTTTCTTTAAATTTCTGACTTCCAGAAAAACTCTGACGAAAAATGCTCGTCAAAAAGACAAGGACTTATTCTGCGAACGTTGTTTCGACCTGAGATGCGAATCGTGTGCCGATTGCCGAACTCCGATCGATCCACAGAAAGAACGGAGTATTCTTGTTTTGGGTCGACATTATCATCTCAATGTGAGTCATCAAAAACAAATAAAAAGACAAACTGAAATTTTCTAGAAAAAGTCATGAAATTGTCAGTTTAAAAAAATAATACTTCAAATTTCTCATTCGATTGTACCTGTAGATATGAGCAGTACGGAAAACAAATGTTGAAAACTTCTTGGTTTTTTTCTGAAAATTTTCAAAGCTTTCACTTGAGAAGATTTTTCGAGTATACTAAATTTTTCACTTCATCCTTTAAAAGCATTTTGAAACGTAAAGTACGTTAGAAAGGATTTCTTTCATTGATTAGCATTTTTTTGGTTATATAAACAATTTTGAAAAACGTCAGCGTGAAATTAAAATATTTTTTTTTACATTTTTTTAAAGACGTGATTCCTATGATATTTTTTTATGGGTTGAATCTTTATAAGACTTACTAGTTAGACATGACCTTGAAAAAAAGGGTAAGCGGACGTTTTTTTAAAAAAATTTTTCTGCTGATATTTTAAATATCTACTTTCTTTTCATTTTTTTTTTCATGTAAACGACAACGATTCTAATTTTATTGCCTGCTTGGTTGGGATTCTTCGGTTAAAAACCCAATTTTTAAAATGACACGATTTATGAAGCTCATTGAAACTTTTATTGAAATTCTTTTCTCGAAGCCCCTGAATTTTACAAATAATAAATTAGAAACAAAACATTAAAAAAACAAAGTTCATTCAAAAACGAATTGTTTTCAGCATTTTCGATGTGCCGCCTGTGGTCAACCGTTTGCCGGCAAGGAACATTATGAACGGGGAAACAAGGCGTTTTTGCAAGGAGGACTATACAAAGGCGAGTCAAAAAATAGAGTAAAGTGCACCTTTTCAATGAAAAAAACAGTAAATTTATGATCCTCTCACAGTTCGGAAAAACTTCTTCCAAAAACTTTTTTTTGATTTATTTCAAGTTCCTATTGTTCCATTTCGCCTGAGCGCGTTTGACCGCCTGAGCAATGTCCATGAGTTGGGCGCCGGATTTTCCGTCCGTCGGAGTCTTTCCGAAAAATTCGATGGTCGCCGAAGGCAGCATCGATTCCAATTCGGGGTCCTTGACCTGTGAAAAATGACTTGGAATTAGTTCAGAGGAATATATAATCAAGTTAAATGAAGGTTTCTAAATTTGGTTATAGACGCAAAAGCTTGCAGCCTTTTTTTTCTAACCGATTTTCAGTTTTTATTGAAAAAGTGTGAGCTACTCTCGTTAGAATTCGATAATAAAATTTGTTTCAGAAGCCTACCTGAAAAAATATGAGAAGAGTCATTTTAACAAGAAAATTTGAGCGAAATGATATATTCTGTTGTTCTTTGTGCATTGAAAAAAAGTATTACAAAACGTTCATAATTAATTCTGAAACTTTTAAAATTCGGACCTTTTTTTCGTTTTCAGAGTAGCTATCCAATCACTTTCCTTTTGTGAGGATTCTAAATGAAAAAAAAAAATAATCCCAAAAACTAACCACGGATCGTTGTTGGTGAGACATCTCCAAAATTTTGTAGAGTTGACCGCGCGAATTCCGAGAAATGACCAGGTCGTGCTTGCTCAGAATCACTGGGGTTACGGTAGCCGTTACCGTAGTCCAGGCAATCAGGCCGAAAAAAACCGCGGCGCTCAGCATTTCCGATGTCGAAGAGGGACCCAAATTTGTCGTTTTGCAGCTTTTCGGCGACCACTGCCACTACTGTAACCGAGGTCTCGTTGGAAAACATATTCGACTCTTCGGCAAGTCTTTTTGCGCGCAATGCTACCGATGTATGGCTTGCGACAAGGTCTTGGACATCAAGTAAGTTCGAATGATTTAGGAGAAGATAATTGGAATGGGATTTCATAATATTCATTGATCATATCTCCTCCATTCTGATGTGTTTCTAAGCTTTTATAAGTCCTAACTGGCATGTTAGCTCAAAAGTTTGTCAGTAATCAGCTGCTGGTAACCGAATTTAGCTGTAAAAATTTCAAATCGATACAAAAGAGTTTATTTGAAAGGATTAGTGAGCTTCAAACATTACGAAAGGATGTAATATATCGAAAAATCCGACTTTAAATGAGTTTGATGAGATTTTTTTTTATTATCTTCGATCGCCATAGGCGTTCAGCCTGTTCAAACAGAAATCAAGTAGCGAAGATGTCCGACAATTAAATGATCCTTTTTTCATCAATAAATCATTTCCAAGATTTTAAGAAATTGAGTACCTCCTTGCGCTTTATAAATATGTTTAAATTTCCATCCTGGGGTTTTTTTAAAAAGAATTATATTGACAAATTATGAAGTATTTGATGTGAAACGCCATTTTTAGGGTTACTCTAGCTTTTGAACAGCTTGAAGAGTATTTTTGAAAGAAACCTCACGAAAGGTTAGCATAAAGGATGCGTTTCAAATATTTTTCTTAATTTCTTCAATTAATAAAAAAATCTGACTCGGAAATTAATGGAATGAGTTATAGGTTATTCAATTTAATAAATATAAATCACTGCGTAATCTTCAAAATATCTTCTCCAGTCAATAAAAACTTTGTGTTTCTGAGAATATTGATTAATTTTTTCTTAAAAGTGATGAAGATCAAGGTAGCGAATTATGAAAGAGTTGATGAATGAATGTTAAAAAGAAAACTCGAATGGGAAAGGATAGAGATTCAAGTATAGTTTATCTATCAAACCTTTTCTATAAAAGGCTCGAAAATGGGGCGTGGCTCAAGAGATTTTGAAAAAAAAACAAGTCTAGGATTTTTTTTTTGAAGTTTGAAGTTTGAAGCTGTGATCTTCTGAAAACGGACTGAAAATCAAAAAAGGTTTTTTTTTTCAGAGACAAGGTGGCGGAGGTGGATCAACGGCCGATGTGCAAAAAGTGCCTTGGCCGGAAAGAATGGCAAAAAGCGATGAAATACAAACAAAACAAGCAATAACCAGCCTTTTTCCCTCTTTTTTCATAAATCTGTGTTGCGAATTCCGAACGTGAAGCACCGTAGAAGTTCTGTTGGTTCAGCTTTTCCCTGTGAACTTGCAGAGTCATTCCCAAATTCTTGTCTCTCTTTTTTTTTTGGAAAATGATTTTTGATCATTTTTGAAGAAACGGTGTTTATTTCTGGTGATTATTTGAAAGCTCAGAAAGATTTCTTGGAAAACTAATTTAGTTTGAATCACATATTCATATCAACTTTTATATTGCTTTTAAACCTGAGAAACGTCTTTATGAAAACAAGAAGAAAAAGGAAACGAAAGGAACAAAAAAGGTGAAATCTCTCGGAATCTACTGGCCTTTTCTTTAAATGGGGAACGAACTGTTAAAATAACGATTCCAACTTCCGTGTGCACAACGGCGACAGGCATTTTTAACACAAATAGAACATTTCGGATTTTGAACGAAAGTTGAAAGTTTTTGAAGCTTGTCGAATAATTGAAGACTGATTTGTTCGAAAAAATATTGGAAAATTTTCCGAGTCTTCGAGGTTCAGTAAAGAATAAGACTAAAATATTTGAATAAAAGCATAAATTTAAAAAAAAGTTTTTCAAAATTTGAAAAAGGCATTAATGTAACGTTGATCAGAAAAAAAATTTTAATTTTTTAAAAAAAATATCAGTAAATTGAATTTTTTTAACAGGAAGTTGAGTAAAACAGACTTGTTTGAAGGTTGATCAAACTAGAAGATCAAAACTGCGGCGCCAAAAAGACACCGGGTATTGGTCAACATCGTCAGGTTTTTTTCTTAGTCTCTGTGCTCATATTGGTTTTTTTTTTGAACCTTCATTAATCAATTTATACATTAAAACTGTCACGTTTTTCAAAATTTTTGTTCTAATGAACGTGAAATCGTGAATTTTGAAATGATCTGAAATAACACTGGGATTGGCTCATCGTCTCAGGACCTCCAAGGTCCTTCAATATCTTTTTTCAAACAACCTAGTAAGAAACTTTGAACAGACCGTTTTACTTATTTTCGAGCAATTTTTTTAAAATTCCGCTCATTTCTCCATTTTTTCAAAGTTTCAACTCTTTTCTTCTTTTCTGCAGCTGACCAAGACCCAGCCAGAGTCATAAATAAGTCATCGGCGCCTGATTTGTTTGGCGCCAATTCGGAAAAGTCGAAAAGAATGGTGGGGAACGATGCGAAGGGCAATCTGAAGAGGAAAGACGGTTGGAAAAAAAACAATAATGGAGGATCGTCCTTGACGGCAACTCAGACCAGTACGCTCGACCCGGCCAAATTGAAGCACTTCTCTGCTTCAATTGGGTTGTATTTTTCCTTTTTTTAATAGTGTTTGATGTGTGATCGGTTTGTCTATTCTATTAGAAAACTTTTGCTTTCCTTCTGTAGCGCCTATTTTCGCGCGCTCAAAAATTGATTTCGTTTGTGTTTTTAAACGGGAAGTAGTAGAAATATCTTGAAGCGTGTCTACTTCATAGGCAAACTCGGAAAGAGTGGAAAAAGGCTTCATAGAGACGTTCCTTTAAGGATGACAAGGCTCCTTTTTTGCTGCCTTTTCGCGTCATTTAATCGGTTCTTGTGCACCATTTTTGCTGCCTCTCCCGTTTTTATCATTTCTTGAGCCTTTGAAATCCCAGAAAAAACAGAAGGCGCGATAAAAGGAATCTTTTCGCTGCCGTTCTGCGGCCTTTTTTGAGCCTTTCGCTTTTAGCGGCCATTATCCACCGCTCCAAGTAGATGGTATTTTTTTAGTTAATAAAATCAATCAAGTTTTTTCGATAGACTGTGGTTGATTCGAATAACTTTGAGGTTTTTTAAAAGACTCCCAAAGTATTGGCACGAAAAGAATTGTCGAGATCTATTCTAAAAAAAGCTTCAATAGTATTTTTCGTCTAATTTAACGCGCTGAAAATTTTTTTTTCTCTGCGATTCCAGCCTAGAGTCCCAAAAAAAAGTTGTTGAAACGGAAGATTTCACGTATTCATTATTCAAGATCTTTTTTATCATCATTTTAATATCTTTTTTTAAAATTTTTCCAAACTCTCCATATCTTCACTTCAAACGCTAGATTTGAACTACAGTAAAAGCGGTAAACTTCATAGTTTTAGACAAAACCAACTGAAAAATGGACGTGACCGAGCCTCTTTCATGGTGCGCATTTTAATGGGTTTGGTCACTACTTTTAAACCTCAAAATCCTTTTATCGCGCCGATTCGTACAGTTTCTAAACGAAGGAGCAAAAAAACACAAGTTCGTCCTATACGCCTCATTGAACTACATGAAATAGGGCCGTCGTCCCCTTTTGAGGATCCGTTTGATTTTATTTGGTACCGTAGGATGGCTCTTTTTTTCTAAAACTTTCAAAGAGCTTTCTAGAATATATTTTTTCAGTTTTTAGCTTTCTTCTTTGATGCAATTTTAAGCTTGTTTGAAAAAGCCGTTTAAACACAGTTAACTCAATGAAAGTCGATTGCACATGTACTCTTACATTGAAGATGCAATAAACAGTAAAAAACAGTTGAAAATGGTTTGAAAGCGTATTTTAAAAAAAAACGTTTTAGCAAAAGAGCAATTTTAAGCTTGAAAAACTGAAAAACTAAACGGTTCTGAGTTTTGAATCGAAACAGCTATCAAACCATACAAAGCTCAATGCTGAAAAAAAATTTTTTTTAATCCGTCAGCGGTTCCTAGTTTAAGGCTCACCAATAATGTGATAATGGTCAGATTAGGCCTTGTCAAACAGTTTGAGTTTTATGAAAATGAGCTTTTCTTTCTTTTTGACTTCAAAAACTAAGAAAAATTTTATTTTCTCAACATTCTTGTCTTTTTAGTTCTCACCGTGAGGAAAAGCCGCGCGGCTTAAAAAGGGATTTGTTTCGGCGTCTTTTTGAGCCATTCTTTTCTTCACGGACACAGTAGTAATCGTCTTTTTTTCCCGTTTTCAAATTTCATTTTTGTTTTGGTTATTGAGAAATAATTTTTCAGGTTCTTTTCAAATTTTGCTCTGATCTGACGTTCAGGGGAGCGTCGTGCAACAAAGTTATGGAAAACGACCTAGAGCCTGTACGCTCTATGGATAATAATTAGGATCATATAACTAGGGGGCGCAAAGCCCCGCCCCTTCACGCCACCAAAATGACGATTTTTTTGTTGCAAAAACGGTTTTGAGGCGTTTATACTAGCTAAAGTCCCACTTTAAAAATTAACTGTTTCTCTCAATCTATGTAATCGACAACGCTCTACATTACTGAATATTTTTAAAACTATGTATTTTTCAAAAATAAGCGGAAAAGTAAGATTTAACACGAAAAAAACTGACAAGTTTCACAAAATCGTCGCGTTTTAGAAAAGAAAGTGAGGAACGCTTCTAAATTTTGAGTATGTTATATATTAACACTTTTTTTATTTTTTTCGAGTAAAAAAATTTTTAAAAAAATCTAACGACGCGAAAAATCGAAGCTTGTAAAGTGACACCAAACTTTGAAGCTGAAATGCGAAAAAATTTCAGCGACATGGTATACTTTTTATTTGATTTAAAAACTCACAATGTGTTCAAAAATAAAAATTCAGAATGAAAATAATTATTGGGACAGCGAATCAAGTTATATTTGAGTTTTACCAAAACCTCCTTTTTTCGCCTGCCTCGTTGACGCATGAGAGAATAGGATCGCGTCTATACTTTTGATTATGTTAT